GCCCCGGTTTCTTGTAATATTAATACTCATCTTTTGCTGCGTCATCTTCTGCAATTAATTTTACTCTTGTGTGATATATATGACGTTGCTTCTTTTGCACTAGTAGACGAGGAAGAGGACAAGTGGCGGCCGCTGTGGTAAAACCATCGCTGCCTGGTACGATAAGGCGGGTCCAAGCTAGGTGGAGGCGAAGGCAGAATATGGGGGACGGGGAGAGAAGTACACACGCGACGACAAAGAGAACGAAGACAAGGCGAAAGCACAAAGCAAGACGAACGACGAACGAAGCAAGCACGCAAGTAGTACGAACGCCAAGCAGACCCACCTCGAAAGCCTCAGGCCGAAATGAAGCGACCAAGAAAGCAAGAACGGACAGATACCAGGCAGCCCGACCGCGCGACACCGCTACCCACGTCAGGCAGCAGCTACCCACATGCGCCGCCTGCGGCAAGGCCCGACGCGGCCTAGCCAACGGCGACGAGAAGGCAACGCGCGGCCCACAAGGCTAGACGCAACATAGTCGCAACGGCGACAATAGCACAAAAACACAAGAAGCACAAAGAGGCCCGGCGAGGTCGTCCGCGGTGGTTGATCGAAGCGCATTAATACAAACAAACAAACAAACAAACTACAAGTGGAAAATTTACAATAATGCTGTAGCAACAGCTGCTACTTTATCAACAGTCTAATCGTGTAGCCGTCTGCTCGTCGTTAAAAACGAGGATAGTTCTAGTTTTTGTCTCTTGTAAAGGTTCTTTTAAGGTTATGATACTACGTACGGGGAACTCTTCATGTGGAGTGAGCGTACTAGTATCCTACTGTCCTCGAGACTGTTGCTCTAGCTGCAGAAGAAAAGTCGACTCACCTGATCACTCAACTACCATCAGCATAAAGTAAACAACTGATACATATTCATTATTTCAACTAAAAACATCATCTGATATATAATAAATAGTGTATGGATTATTTCCTTAAAACCAGCGCCACCATCCAGGGGGGTCAAACGGGACAGCCCCAACATCGCAATCGTTTGATACCCCTTTCGAGGTATGATCTGGGAAGTAATGATACAATTTCACTTTCATCTGTAGCTGTTTCACTTTCATCTGTAGCTGTAGGGATAACTTTTATCGACAAATCGATATCGAAAGTTCCGAATCTATCGACATCCAGGATATAGATGATCAGTATCAGATAAATTAGTAACCTATAATACTACAGCTACACCCAGGTGATGTTCCTTCATTAAGTGGGTTTTTTGTTCTCGGAAGAAGAAGTGAGTGCTTGAGTACCCGCCAAATAAATCCTAATTCATGCTCAGAAAGAACCAAGTCGGTTGCTTTCCTTGTACTCGAACTCGAGTAAGTCATGAAATAGCAGAAGAAGCATGTAGATGCACCAGCACCATTGATTTTGATTCGCAAACATAGCACTACCTAGATGAACGCATCTTCATCTTCTTCTTCCTACGCAGACGGAGTATATCGAGCCCACGTCTCGTCAAGTTGTCAACCCGTTCATTCATTCATCGCTCATTTAGCTACTGTGTTACAGCTAGGACGTTTAGATTAGGTTAGGCTAGATGGTTATGGTCATCCGACTACGAAGAGACGACCGGCCACGACTACGGAAGTCTATATACCAACATAGTTTTTAGTCGCATTCCTGCCTTGAGTGCCACGCTGATGGTCAGCAACCTTGCTTCGAGCGCTCTGGTCTAGCACTGTGTCGACTTTTAGAAATGTGATTAGTTCACCGCTACTTCTGGTGCTTGACAAAAAGTGTCAACTTCAAGTCAACTGCTCGCGTTTTTGTAGAGGCAGCTGATTAAAATAGCATCATGCCAGCCTATCGATGCTATTCCTATGCTTGCATCCATGGTGGACGATAGACGGACCGCCCTAAAAAATGCAAACGTGTAGTACGTGAAGACGATGATCATGATGATTTCTCTCACTCAATCAGTCAGAGTTTTTGTTCACACTTTTCGTGTGTGCGTGTGCTATTGAATTAGAAAGCACTTAACAGCTAGACTAGCCGACCCTAGTTGTCAGCTAAGCTATTTGTCAGCTAAGCTATACTAGTTGTAGTTTCTATTATGAGTCAGGCATCACTTGATGTGCATGTGTATGTGAGGTGTTGTTGTTAATGAGTGTAATCGCCTGAAATTCAGAGAACTTGTGCTATCCTAGTAAGTTAGTGACACGTAAGCCTCCAAGGCCTCCAGCATTAGCGACCTGCCCTTGCGTCCCATCCGTCCCAGTACTAATACCCGAAGAGGAAGAAAGCTCACATTAGAAGAGAAACAACAAAGCAGTATTTCGTTATTTTTCTCCTGATTGAGAAGTCGAGATCAAGGTCTCGAAGTCGATGGCGATGCTTGCCGATGTAAATGGAAATGCCATTCTAATCTTATTCTTAATCAACTCGAATTCATTCACGATCCTATTTCTGAGGAGCTAGTTCTGCTTTTAGTGGTAGTCTCATTCCATCCAGTTAACCAAGAAACAACTCTGGTGATACATCGAAAACGAAATACTAGTTTTCGCTTGTTTTGACTGACACTTTTGTACTGGCTGGCGCTTTGCCCCACTCATTTTTCATATCTAATCATGCTAAAAAAAAAATGGTGGTAGATATTGTGGCTACAAAGCTCACCAAATATCCGACTATTGGGGTTGTCGCGGCCAGCTGGTAGGGGCCCAAGCATCAGCCCCCACGGCCGCACCGGGTCGGTGGGATCGCTGCGGAACACCCAACATACCCTACAATGTAGCGCATGAGAACCGGTAACAGCAGAAGACGGCGGCGGCTGGATGCTTGGACAGCAGTCGACCTTTGGAAACGGCCTCGAAACGAGGGATAGTCGGAAGGAACTCAGTCACGCTCACGCGGCCGTCTGGTTCCGATCGATATTGACCTGGGTGTAAAGAATTGGGCACGATCATCAGTGCGTTCGCATGATGGCAGGAAGTGTAACTCAGCAAGCATAAAGAAATACAGCTCGACCAAGATTCTACCTACAACTACGAAAGCAAACTCATTGAAGCAACAAAAAGAAGCAAGTCTAGCTCATGATCGCACAAAACAAAACTAAAAAATGTGAAGCGTTTGGCTCTCTTACTTCTCATGACAAAAAACGCAAGCCCTCTGACAAAGAATCGTCCTAAAGCATCTCTCGCTGAAGTAGTCGATCTCTCTTCCTCTCCATCCTAAAATCTTCGATGAAAAAACCCGCATCCTAAAATCTTCGATGAAAAAGCAACTAATATAAATCTAGCGAAGAAGCAAGAAAGCCCCAAGAAAATAGAACAGAAAAATGCAGCTGCGTCTCTACAATTTCCGAGGCCGGCTACAGTACTCTCTGAAAGACGACACAAAAAGACGATGTCCGCGGACCTCAGGAAGCCACTGGCCGCCCGAGAACCCACCAACCAAGAACCAAAGGCACAGTCTGAAGTCCCAAAATCCACCCACCACGCTCGGGGGGTGGGTGGATCTCTCAGGTAGCCTGACGGGCCCCGAGAATTCCACCTGCTACCAAGCCGACCGGAAAGCGCAGTCTGGAGTCCCAGAATCCACCCACCAAGCTCGGCGGGTGGAATTCTCGGGGAACACGAAGGCCCCCGAAAATTCCACCTGCAACCAAGCCGACCGAGAAGCGCAATCTGACATCCCAAAATCCACCCGCCAAGCTTGGTTGGTGGATTTCTCGGGGAGCACGAAGGTCCCCGAGAATTCCACCTGCTACCAAGCCGACCGGAAAGCGCAATCTGGAATCCCAGAATCCACCCGCCACGCGTGGTGGGGCGATTTTTTCAGAGAGCCCGAAGCCCCCCGAGAGGTCTACCCGCAACGCCTGTCGCAGATGGCGCGGCAATCAGCGGGCACCTGGGCGCGTCACTGCATCGTCATCCGCTGCGGGAGTTCATATTCTTATAAACATATCTGTACTTATACAACTGCAGGGCGAAAGTGTATCAAAGAAAGTTCTACATGAAAGCATAAAATAAAACATACCTGTCCAAGTCCACGTCCGCCGCCAGTCCCAGCCAGCAGCAGCGCGTTGCGTACACATAGAACGCACACTCCTGCTATTGTAGGCATTGCGTGTCTACTGAGCGCACCAGCGCAGCAGAATGAAAAGTACAGGCGACCAGCGTCATGCCTACCGCGTCTTCCGCAGCCGCATCATTCTCCGGCGGATGAGAAGAAGGGGAGGAGGGCAAAGAGGTATAGCTTCTACGGGAGGGAGGTGCTTGAAATGCAGAAATATGAAGCAAGGGGCGGGCATAGTGACGGTCTGTAAATCCAACATTTTTAACAATCTTTAGGGGTTTCATATTTTCATATGCAAAGCGATAGAGACAGAAGTACTACTAACTCGTCTTGGTTACGATTGGAACTTCAACTTTTAATTGTGCTGGTAGTGGCAGCCGTAATCCAAACTTGTTGTCCCGAGAGAGATTTGGGTGTCATGAGCAGGCGGTGAAGATTGGTGTCTTGACCGCAGAGACGATCCACGTAATGACGAGGATGACGAGGGCCCAAGCAGTGGGAGCTCGTCGTCGCGTAACGTTGACGATGTCATTTTTACTTTTTCATATGTAGACAGTGTTGTTATATCAACATCCACATCTGTGTAAAAGTAGGATTCCTATACTGTGTATGAGAAAAAGTGCAACTTCCACGACTATATTTTGATATTCAGGACAATCTATTTGTTCGCAGAAACTCAAATATGAAAACAAATGCCAATTATCCTTGTGCGATTATATATTAAAATGGTTGAGCCGTAGGTCATTTGCAGAGACTTCAGAACCCTTCTCTCTGTATTTTTTGGCTCTCAGAATGATCCTGCAGCTAGCCCTTCTCAGTCTCATGCTTCTCTTTGTCTTTCTCTCTCCAATTAATATGCCTCCTCTCAAATCCTGTTCCTCTTTAGATGCCAATTCTTGGCGTTGGCGTACAACAGCATATTTAGAAGACTGTTTTCCCTTGTGAAGTCGAATTCAGATCTTTCACTGTCACAAGCGAAAAATAGGAGCTTCCTACTTCAGTTTTTTCAATGCTCATCAATCATGCAAGCATTTCGTCCCATCACGTCCATGTTAATGGTGGACCCCAGCGTCGCACTAGTGACCTTATGTCCTACTTCATCATCATCGCTGCATTAGTGAGCTGATCTCACTTGGGTGACTCCTTAGCTCTAGGCCTTCCTCATCGCATTAGTCACCAATGTTTAGTGGGCTGATATCATTCCACAGCTCCATTCGTGGAGCCGCAGATGCACCAGTTGCGGAGTTCTGCTGTAATGGTTTTGTCATGTATGTGCTCCTGATATAATGACCATCCGTGATCACCGTAGAGGCCAAATGGCAGCTAACAGGACGAATTAGTCCAACAACATAGGATATTTGAGCTCTTCTTCGACAATCGGTCGGACCATGCTGTCTACCGCAAGGAGCTTCCAAATCGCGCACAGTGCGCCTTCTGCGCTCTTCGGCATCACTAAGTTCGCGATTTGTAGCAATTAGAAAAAAATTTGGGATCTTGTAAAAATATGTTTTGATTGGACAAGTAGGAGAGGTGCAAGTAGAAGAATCTTTTTTATTCAATGAATTGGATGAATTATAAAAATTGCATTAGCTGCTCTGGCTCCAAGAATATAGAGTAGCTTGGAGTGCTTATTTGTCCAACATCATTGAGCCATGATATAGAGTATTTGAGCTACATTATATAGAAGAGTTCTTTATCCAACATTATTTTTTTAGCAAAAATAGGAAGTCGTAACTACTACAGCACACAGGAGTTGAAAAAAGCAGTAGAACGATGGCTTTAGCTCAATTCGAGAGCGCCATTCTAGTAGGAAATCCATTTCATAAAAGCATGTCGAAGGCAGCACTAAAGGCAAAAGGATCGATGAAAATGTATCGGAAACCACATTGCCTCCTCCCGTGCTTACCAAACAGAATGGCAAAGCTTCTTCCCTCTGTCCTTGATTCCCAGCTTGGAAGAATGTTAGAGGGGTAAAAACGCTAGAACAGTCTACACATCGTGCTTACGTGAAGAATGATACAAGGATGTACACAACTAGAAGTACTAGCAGGTGACTTAGGTAAAAACGAGGACGACGTAGGAGACCTAAGAAGATAATCTAAATTCTGGTCGTCCTCATCCTGTCCTTGTTAGAAAGGTCAAGTTCTTGTTCTAAAACTCGTCGTTGACAACGAACAACAATAGCTATAGGCGACACAGAGACACAGAGTGTTGGTGTAACACCAATGGTGTTCATTTTCTACCATAAGTTTTGATTTCCACCGCCACTTGCTGCATGCTCTCCAGGCAGATCGATGCACATTCCGACAGTCGCCATAGTCACACCACGAGTTGTGATCAGAGCTCGACTCGTTTTTGAGAACCGTACGCCAATTTCAGCACCTTTCCTCCGCTTTTTGTAGAGCATGTCTCTCAAATGGATGCCGAAAATCGCATTCGGATCCAGGGTATGAAAGTAGAACGTAGAACAGCGGGGTGGGATAGCATTACTTCTCATTCTCAATCTTAACAAGATACCAGACTTCTGAAACTGATTCTACTACTGCTACTGGGCAGCGGCAGATGAAGTTGAAAACCAAAATCAGGTTTACACCGTTCAAACTTCTCGAGAAGTCTAGCTGAAGTCTAAGCGTCTACTGTTTACCCAACCTATTATTCGAGTTTGTAGTTCTTGTACGCCCGTATCGTAGTAGTTCTCGCGTATATTGTTCATAAGTACGACTAGTAAGTGTAAGATCTTCTTTCATCTCGCCATAAAGGTCTCCGGAGTTCTTGTTGTCGAAAGAAGACAAGGAGCTCTTGCTTTTGTGCTGGAGCTTGAAGTTGGAAGTGAGCAAATGTAACAAGAGTTTGACTTGCAGAATGGCCCACTTTCGATTCAGGAAAACGTCGTAGAACTGCTTTACCCTGAACAATTCCGCCACCTTGCCTAAGGCCTCGTATACATTAGAGCTTCCGCGCTCGCATCCCTGAGAGCATCCCTGGTGCCTTTTTACCCTTGAAAAAGAGACCAAGGATGATATCCGTTTCTTTGAGCAGGATGCTTCCGGGACGTTGATATTAGCCGTAAAAACAGGAAGCAAAGGCGCGTAGTACTTTCGGCCAATTTGCAGTTCTTCTTCGTCGGACATGTTGTCGTAATCCGGTGGCTGTTCTCCTGCTTCTCGAGAGTTCTGTTTAGCACGATCTGCTTCTAATTCAGCTGCAATCTTCTCATCTAGCTCTGCATCGGTACAACCTCCAAAAACAGCATCTAAGAACTGCTCTTGTTCAACAGCAACATTACCATTAGCATGACGTAGTTGGAGGTCGTTACCTTGTAGTTGTTGCGCTTCCTGTAGATGTAGTCCGCCTCCTTCCTCTATTACTTTTTTCAGCATGGAATCGAAGTAGCCAGACTCAACTAAGGCTAAAAGATCGTCATCGTCGAAAGTTCCACTTGCGTCTTCGTCGTCAGAAACCGCGCCACCACTGGTAACATTAGAGCAGAGGTAGGAGTTAGTTCATGGGGATCAACCTGGAAATCCAAATCGAATTCCAAAAACAATAAGTAGTTGTGGTCAGATATATAAAGACCCCAACCCGTACGTTGAGTAATCATACCAAGAACTGTCTATCTCAAATCCTGTCTATCAATCATAACAACTGTTTGGTGGTCATCCATCTTCGGAAAGGCTTCTGACGTTCCACTTTGGTGCACTAATAATCGGCCTTTGCCCATCCCAGCGACAACATCTTCGAAATGATGCTGCAGATCCGCGATGCTGTCCAGAGACCCCGTACGCTGGCGAATTTGGGTGGACAAATCTTAGCGGTAGTCTCTCATCAGGGTTAGGTTTCGGATACAGTGCATGTGGACAAGGCTACACAGCGCCTGCACCATACGAAGCAATAGTAAGACTATCAGGAAGACACACAATCCTCTACTCAACTTAGATAGAACAACTGTTTGATCGAGGCTGTGTAGAGCACAAACCTACTACAACATGCGTCCTTCGTCCTTGTTAAAGTCCGGCCCCCAAGGTTCCCCGGTCGACTAGTCGCGCACCAGAACTAGTCTTTCATCATCTTCCGTGGTTGACTATTCCTATTCGAAAAACTAAAATGGCTGGCGCTTTGCCCCCCGAATTTTTCATATCTATAATCATGCCACAAATGGTGGTAGATATTGTGGCTACAAAGCAAAGCTCACTAAATATCCGACTATTGGGGTTGTGGCGGCCAGCTGGTAGGGGCCCAAGCATCAGCCCCACGGCCGCACCGGGTCGCTGGGATCGCTGCGGAACACCCAACATACCCTACAGTGTAGCGCATGAGAACCGGTAACAGCAGAAGACGGCGGCGGCTGGATGCTTGGACAGCAGTCGACCTTTGTAAACGGCCTCGAAACGAGGGATAGCCGAAAGGATCTCAGTCACGCGGCCGTCTGGGTCCGATCGATATTGACCTGGGTGTAAGGAATTGGGCACGATCATCAGTGCGTTCGCATGATGGCAGGAAGTGTAACTCAGCAAGAATATAGAAATACAGCTCGACCAAGATTCTACCTACAACTACGAAAGCAAACTCATCGAAGCAACAAAAAGAAGCAAGTCTAGCTCATGATTGCACAAAACAAAACTAAAAAAAGTAAAGCGTTTGGCTCTCTTACTTCTCATGACAAAAAACGCAAGCACTCTGACAAAGAATCGTCCTAAAGCATCTCTCGCTGAAGTAGTCGATCTCTCTTCCTCTCCATCCTAAAATCTTCGATGAAAAAACCCGCAAACGAAGGAAAGCAACTAATGTAAATCTAAATCTAGCGATAACTAGAGGATGTTGATTTCTGAAACAAAAAAGCTCAAAGAAATAGAACAGAAAAATGCAACTGCGTCTCTACAACTTCTGAGGCCGGCTACTCTCTGGAAGACGATACAAAAAGACGATGTCCGTGGACCTCAGGAAGCCACTGGCTGTCCGAGAATCCACCCACCAAGAACCAAAAGCACAGTCTGAAGTCCCAAAATCCACCCACCACGCTCGGTCGATGGGTTGGTGGAATTCTCGGGGAACACGAAGGCCCCCGAAAATTCCACCTGCAACCAAGCCGACCGAGAAGCGCAATCTGACATCCCAAAATCCACCCGCCAAGCTTGGTGGGTGGATTTCTCGGGGAGCACGCAGGTCCCCGAGAATTCCACCTGCTACCAAGCCGACCGAAAAGCGCAATTTGCCATCCCAAAATCCACCCAAAGAGCTCGGTGGCTGGATTTCTTGGGGACCACGAAGGTCCCCGAGAATTCCAACTGCTACCAAGCCGACCGGAAAGCGCAATCTGGAATTCCAGAATCCACCCGCCAAGCGTGGTGGGTGGATTTCTCGAGGATCACGAACGTCACCGAGTGTTCCGCCTGCCACTGAGCCGACCTAGAAGCGCACTGCGCCAACACGAAATCCACCCACCACGCGTGGTGGGGCGATTTTTTCAGAGAGCCCGAAGTCCCCCGAGAGGTCTACTTACCCGCAACGCTTGTCGCAGATAGCGCGGCAATCAGTGGGCACCTGGGCGCGCCATTGCATCGTCATCCGCTGCGGAACCGGAAGTTCATACTCTTATAAACATATCTATAGTATACTTATCCAACTGCAGGGCGAAAGTGTATCAAAGAAGGTTCTACATGAAAGCAAAAAATAAAGCATACCTGTCCAAGTCCACTTCCGCCGCCAGTCCCAGCCAGCAGCAGCGCGTTGCGTACACATAGAACGCACACTCCTGCTATTGTAGGCATTGCGTGTCTACTGAGCGCACCAGCGCAGCAGAATGAAAAGTACAGACGACCAGCGTCATGCCTACCGCGTCTTCCGCAGCCGCATTATTCTCCGGCGGATGAGAAGAAGGGGAGGAGCGCAAAGAGGTATAGCTTCTACGGGGGGAAGGTGCTTGTAATGCAGAAATATGAAGCAAGGGGCGGACATAGTGACGGTCTGTAAATCCACCATTTTTAACAATTTTTAGGGGTTTCATATTTTCATATGCAAAGCACCTCCCAGTAAAAAAATCGCCTATAATTTCAATACTTCGAATCTCCTTAATTTTCGCTCTTGGATTTTCTATCCGCTGAATCGCACAAGTCCGCCCAAACCGCAAGATCCGCTTTGTCTTCTTTCTTCGCCCTTTGATCCGGCTTGAGGTGTAGAGCTTTGAAGGCACCCAACTCAAAACAACGTCCAGCGGACGATACCGCAATCTTGAAATCGCACAACTGATGCCGCCTCTTCAGCCAACGTTGGCCGAAAAAGTCCAGAACTGGAGAAGGATCCTGTGGTAAAGCAAGAGCCAGGAGGTGTCGGGGTAGATAGTGACAGTGATAGGCATGGGAAAGGGAAATATAATGTATTAGTTGATAATATCCACCCTAGGACGACGAGGACGAAAACACCAAACTCAGTATACTGACATTGAACTTGTTCCTGAAAAAATTGTGGTGCAGTTCTTTCAACTTCAAGAAGAGGAGCAAATAAAAAGACGGTCGACAATGAAAATCAACAGCAGTATAGTATAAGTAAATCTGATACGTATTTCCCAATCGCGGACGTAGGTATTCCAGCAGGTTTTTGGAAATGTTCGTAGTAGAAGGTGGCAAGAGCAGCAAACGCATGGCGGAAGGTGCGAACTGGTGGCGGAAGAGAGCGGTGCATTTCCGCAGCCACGCGTCTGCCACTAGGATCTTGATGGAGGAAGTCTAAGAGACTTCTCTGATCCTTCTCGACACGACTGCATAGTGGGGACGACGTCTCCAATCCTAGAAAACTGTTGGTGTAGTAGCGGAAGAGGGCCAAAGCAATCATCGGACTGAGGGAAAAAGCTCCCTTGTGGTGGGCTACGATCTCACGGTTCCCGACATCAGGAAACGTCAAGTTTCTCAGAACTAGGAGAGCTTCTTTTTTTTTGACCTCTAAAATCCAATCAAAGGTCTCCCAATTTGTTGTGTCTCCTGTTCCAACCACTTGCGTCGGCTGTTGTTGATCACCTCCACCGCCTCCTCCGGCTCCCCCGCCAGTTGTCGTGGTTTTAGTTGAAGAGGAAGAAGCAACCGCGGAGGCTGATGTTCCAGAACTTTCATTAGTGTTGGAATTTCCATCAGAAGTTGCAGTTGATGCTGTGCCTGTTCCAGTTACTGAAGAGGCCGTCGCGACCGTGCGACCGCTGGATATGTTAGCCCATCTGCCACCGTCATATTTGCCTGCTGCTCCATGCGTGAATTTTGGCGCTTCTTTTGCCAGTTTGCGTTCGGGAATGGACTCGATCGGAGCAACTAGGACTTGTACCAAACATCTCCTAGGCCAGTAGTTGACTGCGACTCGTTGTAACGCGTACAGACGGCGATTGTCGATGGTAACTAGTTTTCCTTCCGTGATCAACACCCTGATATTCGGGAAGGGAGCATGGAGTAAATGGACGGAATTCGGAATGCCACGTTCCCCATCCCAGTTTCGTGCCATGTGCTGCAAACTCTGATGATCTAAGAGGAGCGAAGGATCCTCGCTTCCCACTACTGTGGGTAAGACTAAATGAGATGAGCCTCCTGGTGGAGGTGTTCCTGTTGAGGGAGCAGGCCCAAGCGCTGGTGGGGCCTCTTGGTCTAGTTGTACCACATTCCTAGAACAAGTACTATTGGTTATCTTCGTTCCTGTAACTGAGCTTCTTGCACTTGGAACCGGACTCGCCAAAGGTGCTGCTTTGGTATTCGCGATGAGATTTTGACTGACAATCACATGCTCGTGTGCTCCTCTTTGGAGCAACGTAGAGACTAGGTGAGGGGGACAGTTCCAGTAGGCCTGTTGGTTCCACGAGCAGATACCGGTAGGGCGACCACCACCATTTGCAAGGGAGACTTCCTCACTCCATACTTGAGGAATCACCTCTTCCACCGGCCCTCTAGCGTGGAAGAAAGGGTGGATATCGCGTTGCGAAAAATGGATCGAAAGCGGGTTGATCCATCTTGCTTCCCATTTTTGCCCTTCCTCTTAGAGCAGTCAGATTTATTTTTCCTTGGACAACTTGGAGGAACAGAAGGAGTCAGATTTATTTTTCGTCACAAAACTTGGACGAGGAGCAGAAGGTAAACGCTATATAACAACAGGATGCGCCCGGCGGCTAACGCAGAGCTCGAGCTCCATACGAATATCTACTAGAAGGGAGAACTAAGTGGACGAAATAAAAGTTGTACATGTACTAGAACTAAGTAGACGTAATAAAAGTAGTTGTACTCCTACTGCTACTTATACTTGTAGTTGGATAAACTGCTTAAAACAAAGAATTCTAGCCATAATCTTCCTCCACGACCGAGACAAAGTAGCCCAAATCGAGGCTCTGCAAAAGCGCTGAATAGTAGTTGGACATGTGCTTCGCCACATCCGTTTCATCTGGTTTTAGTCCCACGCGTGATGGCTGCGTGGGGTCCTTCAATGCCCTCTGACATCCGATCTGCAGTTTTTGGAATAGGTTGGCGGAAGAGGAGGAAGAAGCAGCACGCTTGTTTGTTGTTGCCTTGTGCTTGTCAAATGCGTGCTGCTTCTCATTTTCAACAGAAGAGCTAGCGGCACTAGAGGAAGCCGCAGTGCTACTACGACCACTACTACTACTACTACCTCCACTACTTTTACCACCAGGATAAAACTCCGTCCATTCCTGCAACCGTTTGAAAAATCTATCTCCACACCGTCTCACGGCCACGCTTTTCGGAATCTTAGGCAGAAACGAAAGCATCTGTTCTCTTGTATAGGGACCAAAGACTTTTCCCGCGTCGTTAGCGTACTCCCAGAACTCGGGTAAAGTGTTTTTCCCAGAGTTCGCGAAAAAGCCAGCGCCTGAATCACGTCTCTCACGTTTCAACGTGTCAATCAGGTTGTTGGAACTGGACCTGGTCTTCTGACGACGCGCCTTGCCGTTTTCTTGAAGCTTAGAGCAGGGCCTGAGTGACCCATACTTAAATTGAAAACAAGGGAGAAGACAAGTCCTCCGTAATTGGTAAGCAAAGTAAAAGGAAAAGCTACTTACAACTTGTCCTAGTCCTACAGTAGAATACTGAATACAATAGAAATCAAATAGTTTCTAGCCATACCACTTCTTGGTGACGGTGAGCGCGAGGATGGTCCTTGCTTTAGGAGACGTTGAAAGCTCTGCTGATCTTTGGCTAGGAGATGTGGAGGCACATGCTGATGGTGCGTGCCTTTGCTCCCATGTTCAGGGAGATCCTCTAAAACCTCACGATGTCCCTTCTGCCCTTTGTGGCCCTTGTGGTTCTTGCCGGATTTCCCTGCTTGTTTTAGAGCATGTATGGATGGTAGACGTGGTTACACGACTTACAAGGTATGAAATAAATAGGAAGTAGATACACACTCTGATTCAATATTTTTTCTAAGTCACGCAGCACATTGCTAAGAAGTACATGCGCAACAGCAATAATCCATAAGGAGATGATAAACGTCGAGCTGCACTATGCTGGACATCATGAGCATGGTGATCATCATGATGTTTTCGCAACATCCACCTCCTTTCATCGTCCTAGGACCTACATTACCTCCAACTTATGCTTCATCATCAAATATCATCGACGTCCTAGATTACCTACAACTTATGCTTCATCTTCAAATATCACATGTTCGTAACTTCCCTCCTTGCTTTCCGCGATGATCTGTCGCGACGAGTCTTGGTGTCGATTCTTCCCACGTCATGCCCCATTCAATATCATCCTTCTTTCCGCGTCCTGGTGTCTGTTCTACCGCTGTCTTCGATGAATTCGTAGAACTAGTGGCACTACCTGGTGGGACCTGCTGACCACGGTCATTTTGGTCTCGCTGACCACGCTGCTCGTGTTGATTGTGATGTTGTTCTCGCTCTCGGTGACTCCTTGGATGTTCTTGTTCCCTATCGTCCCCAGTGCTGTAGTCGTGAGGATGTTGACCTCCTCTTCCTCTTTGATGCTGTTCTCGTGGCTCCTGCTGATGGCGCTCACGATGTGAAGGTCCTTCACGCTGATTTTGCTGGTGTCCGTGGTCCCTACGACCCGGTCCTTCCCTATCTCGCTGCTCTAGAGACGCCTGAGGCGGTGGGACATGACGCATTGACACTCCAGGTCGTGCTCCAGCGTGCTCGTCGTCAGAACCAGTATCAATGAGCATGTTGCCATAGGTGTACTTCTTGCCCGCAGTTTAGAAATGAACGAAGGTCAGAGAGGCAGGATTTAAGGAATTTAAATTGCTCACTTTCATTGTAACAATGAGGGGGGGGGTGCCCATTCATTTCCCGTATCATGATCACGCTCTGGGTCTGAAATTGACTACTTAATTCTAATGACAAAGATGAGTCCTGCCGCCGGATGTAGTTGTGGATCAACAATTTCGTTCTGACTACTTAATATCGCAACCAAATCCTTCATATTTATAGAATATGACATTGACATATTCCCCTTTCTCATAATCATTCGTTGAAAATGGAACTTCATCTTTGCCGTCTTCGTCAGCTTGTCCGGGTTTTACGCTGTCGCCAGGAGTCACGCCAGCCGTGGTAATGGAGCCCGTTGCCGGTTCCGACGCAGCTGTCCCAGGACGGTCTTTAAGCACATCAGAGCCGTACATTGCTGTTATTAGCGAAGGGGAAGGCGAAGCTCACATTAAATAATTCATTTTGAAGATTTTCTGCGTCAGTAGATGGGTAGTCTTAGAACTACAATCTGAAGAGGAAAATAACTGAAACAAGGAAGAGGCAGAAAGACATCAAACTTCTAAGGCTAGTACAGGAACAAGATGAATCAATAAGAATACTCTGGCAGCATCAATCCTTAGCCTCTTTTCCTGTATTCGAAAAACTGAAATTATAAGCGAGTAACAGTAACTCTAGAGAATTATAATCTTCTCAGACACTTGTCTGAAAACTACAAGCCAAGTTGAGGATGCATCCTGCGTTGCCTTAATGTTAGTCCTTCTTGTATCTCTGGTTTTGCTTTACGGAGTACATTTTCCTGGTTAGGGACGGGTAAGGGTGGTGGTGGCGGCACACTGTTAGAGTCAGCTATTATCGTCCATCTCGGTCCCCTCTTCATGTTCATCTTGACCCAGACCCGTTTCCTATAATTATAAAATACGAGAGAAATATATAGGGGATCAAGATGCCGAGAAAGATGGACGCGATTCATCTAAGTCTAAATGTTCTTGTCCATAACACTGGAAATGGAGCTAGTTGAAGTAAGGAGGCCTTCATGCTCTGGGGGTGCGGGTGGTGGGACTTCGACTTGGTCTTCTGGAGAATGATCTCGTTGTTCAACATGCTGTTGCAGAGGTTGAGCAGGGTTGTCGTGTTCTTGATGTTGAAGTCTAGCTTTGTCTACTTCTGCTTGATGTAGTTCTTGATGTTCACGTTCACCACGTTGTTCACGCGCAGCAGGATTTCGTTGAGGTTGCAGCAGCTCCTGAGGATGTTGATGAACTACAGGTCCAGGACCAGGTGGATAGATTTGATGCGGATATTGGTGCGGAGCAAAGCCTGGTGGCGCCTGATGATGGGGAGGGGGCATCAGGTGAGGGGGCCCGTAGGGCGATGCGACTACAGGAGGACCTCCGTACGGGCCAGGGCTGTAGACCATTCCACGAGCACCCGCATGTGGCGGCCCTTGAGGAGGAGGTGGCAGCAACCCGCCTTTCATGAGCAACTGCTGAGGTGAAACGACGGCGCCTTTCGGCAGCTGCAGCGGAGGAGCCATCATGCCTGGTCCAGGAGCACCTGGAGCGCCGGGACGGATTAGAGCGAGAGTGTTCTTTTTGCAAAATCACAACATAAATTTCAATCATTATGATGCTAAAGGTACAGGCGGACGCGGAAAGCAACTAGTAGTCACTTCATAAGAACATAGTTGTAAGTACACTCGTGGTACATGTACATGAAATCTGCAAGTTCATGAAATGTTACTCCGTACTTCTATCCCTGTGCAGCTTGTGATCCTTCTCATGTCAAGAATTTAGCCTCTAAAAATAGAAAATACATATGCAATCGAATTGAAATATGACAGTTGCTGCAGGATGAAGACCATCACCATGGTGTTTGAAAGTTCGTCATAAATGTCTGCCTGGTGGGTGGAAGCCTGGCGGGACGCCCTTTTTGCCTGCTAACAGCGCAGCTTTACCCTTCAGATATGCCACTTGCAACTGAGGATCGTTAGCAAGGGTTGATGGCATTGCTGCTCCTCCTTTCAAATGCTGTGGTGGCGGGACCCCAGCACCAACTAAATGTTGGGGTGGATGTTGTTGTTGATGCACTCCACCCAGTGGGACTGGTACTCCAAGATGTTGTCGCCCTGCTCCTGGTGCTCCTCCTCCAAGATGTTGATGATGGGGATGTTGTGGATGTTGAGGTGGTGGTTGTCCAGCGTGTACTAATCCTTGCTGAGGAGGCGCTTGCTGAGGATGACCATGACCTTTACCTCCTTTCATAGCTGCCAGAGCATTTAGATGGACAGCTTCCACTTGACCCTTTTGTTCAGGCGGACCAGTGGGCCTAGGGCCTTTCGTTCTTGGAGGTTGTTGCTGCGCTTCTACACCTCCTCCATCCCGCCAAGCTTCTACACCTCCTCCAGGCAATCTGGGTGCCAGGACAAAGGCATCGTCTAGCGTGTCTCCTCGATAAAACTCCCGGATGGACGCGAAAGCAACTGACTCGATGGGCTGAACCTCCAGTTTTGCAGGTAAATAGCCAGCATTGAACCAGTCACGCATTTGCTGGGACTCGAAGGGACCCTGGATGCGTCCCTTCTTGTCCACATACCGCCAAGTGCAAGAGGACAAGTCGAGAGCCATTTTTCTTGTTCCAGAAAGGAATACGAATGTGCAAGCCGGAGCAGGGCTAGAAAATGGCACCTCCGAGGAATAATTCTTGGTCTAAATAGATTGATTAAAGAGACTTGGCATCGACTGCATCTCCAAGAACGTTTCTAATGCCGAGATCCTTCGGCTGGTCGAATATGTCAGATATTGATGTCGCTGTTCTTCCTGTTGCTTTGATACTGGCCACGTATGAGCTCAGACTATATGTTCTTGTACTTGTGCTTCTGGAAAGAAATTTCATCGCTTGTACTTGTACTTGTGTCATTCGAGTCGTGGAAAGAAATTTCAGCACTTGGCAGCAGCATTTGGAGGACAAAAGAGAACAACGCATCAGTTGAATCAACGCATCTTCAGTTGAAAGACATTTTTGTACAACAGGCATTCCAGCCGCGTCAACGTGGACGACGTGGTTTGATTTAGTTCATCTGGTTTCCACTAGGGAGGATCATTATCATTTCTGATTCAAAAAATCATCAGGTTCTTCGGGTTGCTTTCGGCTCCTGGTTTGTTGAACTTGTTCGCAAGCGTGGTCCATTTTTACCTTCTGCAATTCTTGCAAACACTACTTCACACAGCGCAAATCTCCTATCAGAGGCAGTCAGTGGTCAGCCATCGATCTCACGGAACGGGAATAGAAGACAGAAAGCGACCGTCTTTAATCAGAGCAACTTTTCTTGTAAATCTAAAAATGAATTGAACCTATTAGAGTGGGTGCTCCTTCTTAAACTCAGTCTCAGTGCTAGTACTATGGTCTAATTCCTTACCGCAACGCGACGAATTCACCACTCACTACCTCCACTAGTCTCTTGGTTCGGGACAAAACATTTTTGTTCATGATCGGGGTTGTATTTGTATAAACTGATAAAAGGACGAACTACGAGTGCTGTCTGTGGGTACAATGCTAAACTCAACGACCGACTTCAGTCACCATGGTGTGAGTATGTGTATCGACGCCAGTCATGTCATCCATCAGTCTTCCAGCGTCTTCCCCGACCCCTTGAACAGTGCAGGGCCACCCGCTGGCTCGTCTTGTTTTTGCCGTTTCTTAGAGCTCACCCCAATCCATGTTGGAGTTGTTTCTTTCCCCTTGTGAGAAAGCTCCAAGATCCCGGATAAAGTCCGAAAAAAAAAAAGCTAACTAGTACGACCATAAGTTTGCCCGTTGCACTTGGTAGTGCGTATGCTTCTTTCGCACTCATATTCCCAGTGTTGTAGCCGTACGGCGGCTGTCGACGCACGCCGCCTGGAATGCGTTTACTCTTCCATGGTTCTTCGTCTGTGTCACTGCCGTTGCGGATGTTAGAAGCAGTGAATGCAGGAGCAGCAGGAGGAGGTCTACTAGACTAGATCTAGAATTCTAAATCGAAAGTCGAAAACAAGAAACCAGGAAGTAATAGGATGAGCCTCAGCCTCTGTTGTTCAGTATACGACTCTAAAATGTGGTCAAATTCTTAAATGATTATCGGAGAAAGACAGTGTATTGTTGGAAGGGCTAAATATCTAGAGGTAAAAACTAACCGGCTGTTCTATTTAGTGCTTTGAGCGCCGCTGGACCTAAGCCTCAACCTTATAAAGACAATGTAATATCATGTTCATAACATTAGCCCCTCCATTGCGTGGCGTGCCGACCTCTGACGCAAGCTTAGGCGCTTTCCCGTCTAACCGCAACCCTGCACCGCCAAATATGCGGGAACTAGCGCTAGAATGGATACTCTCAGCATCGAACTTGTCTGGACTGCCTGGCGGATTCGAGCTTGCTGCGCCATCGCGGGTGAGGTCGACTAGAGGAAATTAGAGAAGGCAAATGCGAGATAAACATCTTAGATAGAGATAGTCATTTTTAGCTATAAAATAAGGCAACAAGATGAAACACCAGTAAAAAGTACTCCCGCATAAAAATCTTTTACGCTTTTTACGTTTCCGTATAGGGCTACGCTGTTGTACAGCGAATGGTAAGAACAAGCTCCTCGACTTGTAATTTCGAAAAAAATGGATTTGGAATTTCAGTAAAAAATGGACTTGAAACATGCCCATAACCATCTGCTCCTCTATTCCCGAAATTCAATGGGTCATTAACTGACGACGAAGCTGATGAAGCTGAGGACATTGCCCCATGACCGCCTCCTGGTATTCCTAATGGCGCTCCTCCTTGCTGCTGTTGCTCATTGAAGTCCCTTGGTCTTAGATCTGCCACCCCAAATTCATTTTCAGAGTCATGTTCGGCTTCATGTCCCCATAAAAAAGGGTCAAAGTAGATGCGTACTTTCTAAAAAGATGAATTAGGGTTTTCGAGCTGTAAGCCTTAATGGTGGCGCAAAGTCGACGTTGACATCGGTCTCAATGATGCAAATGGCATTTGCTGGCTTGCATTCCATTACCTCGATTTCGTAGCGCTTGTTGTTGTACATGATCGCCACACAATCACCAACTGTCAGAGTTGCGAAGTTCCGTAGACAACTCTCTAGGACTGCTCTCGGGTTGTGGATGTTCAAAAAGTCTGAGCTTACGGGTCGCAGCTTCACGTAACTGCCTTTCGGCAGTGAAGTGTTCATGATCCGGACTAGATCGCCGGATATTAGAGAGGACAATCATCACAGAGCAACTTATACACCAGGTTTCACAGCTCGCATGGCATGGAGTGCATGGATCACATGGAGTAGCATGGAGCTAAAGGGGGAGCGTCTTGCGCCCCTTAAAGCTCTGCGCCCCATGCACTCCATGCTACTGCATGCACCATGCGTGCTATACACTACTCTGTTATCAGTATGGAAGATCTTGTTAAATTATGAAAAAGGTGGAAGATGATACTGATTCATCCCGAAGATGTCGCTAAAAGCCTTCGTGGCGCACATAGCCGAAATAACTTCAACCACTTAACATAGCGCTACCTCTAGAAACAAACAACCTGACCACTCAACATAGCGCTACCTCTAGAAACAAACAACCTGCTCAAGAACTTCAAGAACCTCAACATAACTCCGAAAGCAGTAGATTCTGCATCATCCAGTATGGGATGTAGCAAGTGCCTTCTTCTGCCACAAACTCCAACACGCCACAATGGGTTCTTTGAGAGCTGCCGTTGGAAATTTCGAAGAGCATAGGATACTGAATGTTCGATCTCGCTAACGAATCGAGAGCACTAGGTGGAAGCATGATCTTGTTGCCGGACTCTGCATCCTCACGTCCAAGGAAGGAGACGGGGTAGCAGGAATACTGGTGGTCGAACCTGTTTGGGTCGGTGGGTGGGTGATGGATGTGCGCATGTAGTTTTTAGTAAGTATGGAGATGTGCGCATGTAGTTTTTAGTAACTATGGAGATTGACAAATGATGTCCTGCTGATCGTAAGAAATCTCATCTACGACGATGATACATCAAATAGAAGATGTTGAAAAATTACTATGATAGATCCCATCTTTATTTACCTTTGATTCGGGTTGACCATGGGGCCGCCAAAAAAATTGGCGAAGAAGCCGCCATCCCCTCCGCCTCCTGGTCCGCGGTTGAACATGTTTTGGTAGAGCTTTTTTTGATACAATATCAATACTCTCGAACAAAGTTCAGCGCAGACTACCTTAAGGGCGTAATAGATGAAATACGCGAACTATGTGAATTTATCCTTATGCTTATGCTTTGAAGTAGATAATCCTGCCCTTTCTGTTTCTGTTCGCTCGCTATCATATCAACGCTCGACTTTGCCTGTTGCTAGTAGTAATGCTGCTGCGAATACAATATCGCTTGTTGTATTTGCTTTTTTCATCAATGTGCTAAGCATATAAATTAGGTATCTATTGGACCCCGATTTCCAGTGTTGATTTTCTGTATGTTCCATTCTTCATTTTCAGACAGCTCTACTTTGGTTTTCATTCTTCACGCCGCTTTTCTATGCCATGCAGAGAGAAAATGAAAAGCTTACCATCGTCGACATGAATTGCACGCACGAGGAGCGCAGGATACGAACACATACTATCAACTTTGCTGCTTCAAAATCAACTACAGACATCAACATGCTATTCCCGTTGAGATTGACATTGAGTTCCTCTTTGAAATGAAAATAATAGTTCGTTATCGTTTCAGATAATTCCTGACAGCTGTTGTAGTGTCCTTGTTCTTCTTGCATTTCATCCTGCTCGTGTCTTCGTTTTGCTGGCACGACCTGCTACTGGTGGCCCTAAAAAATCTTCATATCGATATCACACGAAGTAGAAAATAAATCAATCATACCCATCTTTCTTGCACTGTCAAAGCGCAAAGTTGATAGACATGACGTCACGGAGGATCATATTAATGGAAGAAATCTGTCCACAAACAAAGATGATAAGAAGATGATCACAATTTCCCTTACAAGTCCAACTGATACATCCATCGTTGGGCAACGTCCTCGACGTAGGAGAATGCAAGATGTCGCGTCGGGAACAACATCGCCGTAAAGGGAAAGGGGACGAGACGAGGGTAATTCTAGCAGAAGGTAACTCAATTTCAAAGACTACAACATAAATTACAGTTCCTGTTACTGTTACTGTCCCTGTCGTCGTGTACAACTTAATTCATTTTCATTAGATTGGTGTTCCTTCCTTTGCTGCAGGCTTCCTCCACCTCGACTTATGGCCTCGCTTGGCTTTGCATAAGCTCTAGCCCCACTTGCTTACATCCGTTCATTATGTCGTAATAAGTGGGGAGTCGGTGTTGCTTCTGCGCTAATGCAGACCACGCGAGCTTGTTTTGATAGTAAATCTCAAAGGCTCCTGTCTGTAAGAACGCTGACGCAACCACGTTCCCAAAAAGCCAGATAACTGTTTTGAAGTGGGCGTAATATGAAGTAGCGCGTCCTGTTTTTACAAGTACGCCGACCCACCGTAAACTGAAAAATACAGGCAGCAAGAACACCGAAAGAACCATGATGAAAAGACAAAAACAAAATCAAAAAGTATGAATAATACGCATAAAGCTCGCCGCTTTGTTCCCGCTCAATACTTGGACGACTGCTGGTGTTGGCAGCTTCACTGAGGCAAAGATCGTCTCCCCAATGAAAATGAGTGCAAAGAGCACTATCTGAATAGTTTGGAGGGTCTGGGCGATGAACATCTTGGATGGCGGCACTGGATAATTCGCGCCAATCACTTCGATATCATCCCGGACAGCCCTTTCCATCAGCAGTTTCTGAACTTGTCTAAACGTACCCTCATATTGTCAGCCGTTACAATACATGATGAGGACCTGGTGGAAAAATGGGTTAAGGTCTGCATATGGTTTGAAATTGAAAGAATGCCACTGAAAAAAAAACAACGACAAGGAGTCCAAGGAGTCAAATCAATCACCAATGCGAGAGGGAGAGGAAAAAGAAAAAGAATTTTTAATAGGCAATTTTTACATCAGTTGTACCTGATTATCCACCATATTTTTCGGTGATGGATCCCAGTTCACCTCCGCTTGTCGCATACTATCCACCTGCGCCATAGTCCATTGCGTGACTAGTGCAGCACCGCAAAGCACTACGCAATAAAAAGGTGTCAAGCTTCCCTCTACTGCGGCTGGTGGGGTTGAACTTCCTGGATTTTTTGCTGCAGTTCCTCCTGTCGCAGAAGTCGCTGTTCTAGTAACAGGTGGCCCACCAGCACCAGAAGACTTGGACCCTCCACCTGAGGGTGCAGTATCATCGCCCATTTTTTGTGCTCCTTCTATCCCCTCGAAAACGAAAAGTCGGACTTAGAGATGATAGGAGCTTCTAAAGGAGCTTCTAAAACATCAAAGCAACAAACATTTGATACAGTCGGTGCTGGCAAAATAAGAGACTTACTTACTTAGTTAATCCAACGACGCGAACAAGATATTGGGAGGGAATGTAAAGTTCGACATGGCAAAGAACGATCGTCCAAAGATTCTGGAGGTTGATAAGATGTTACTTCGCGCTAGATGGTAGTTTCTCTCGTAGTTGCCGTCCGCTGGAAGATCTGATGCTCGAACTTACTATAATAAACTTCAACGTAATAACACCTTCCTAGTTGATGTTAGCCAAGGATCTTCACGACCCGATACGCACTGTGCCCCGTTCTAGAAGCCTATCGGATGCTCGTCTGAGAACACATGAGGATAATTGGCATTACGATTGCAATGATTGCCATTGTGTTTCAGATAGAAAGAGGGACTCTGTTGAGAGTGAAAATTGCTTACAACAGCGTGCTCTTTCTCATCATTTTCTACATGACGGCCTCACATCGAGCGATCATCTCTCATTGTGCACATTGCCCATCAATCAAATCTCAGTGTGTCGGAATCGGAAATAAAACATTTGATACATAAGAAATCATCGCGCGGTGCGTAATCGTGATCAGGTTATCTAAGAAATCATACCAAAGACTGAAACTTTTTTCTGTGAGCACAAAAAAGATACTAGCAACGATAATCTAACAACTCCTTGACAAAGGACTGGCAAGCGTGTAAGAAAACAAAAGAGAAACTTAAACCAAACATCACCTGAACCAAGAACTACGGCTATAGCTATACAACGAAAACATAGAAACTACAACTACGTCCCCACATTTTATAATGGATGCTATCCCCCGCCGGCATCATTCATTTCTGCTACGGTCATATCCATAACAGGCATGCCGTATTCGTCCACCTTCTGTCCAAATTCTTCCGCACCGAGACGGACAAGGGAGTTAGAAGAGGTGGAGAGAGGAACTAAGAGAACGTGGAGAGAAGTAGAACTAAGACCACCATCAATATGTGGGGGGCGTGTCCACTACTAGTAGACTTCGAAATAAATAGAACAAGTCTATTCGAATAACTGAAATAAGCAAGTAACTGATCAGAGTAACCGAGATACTGACGAGAAGGAAGAGTAGCCTTGATGTCAAGCTAGTACCTCCCTTATTTCAGTCAGTAACTCGGTTCTATTTTGAGTTTTCGAATACTAGTACTAGTGATAGTAGTTATAGTTTAGACTTCGAAAATAGAACAAGTCTACTAGAAGTAGTTCCCGATCCCTTCATCTTCATAATACTAAGAACTCGTTTTTCCAAAGGTCGGACCGCGGAAAACACGAGCATCATTTTGTTGTGAAGTCGGTCGACTTCCATATTCAGGCGCTTCGCTTCCGGAGTTATTGCGAAAACGAATTCCCCAACTTTTCTGTTGAAAACGAATGACGACGAAAGTACAGATGACTCACGGAAAAAGTATAATGGTCACTGATGACGATGATGATGAGGATGATGATGATGTTAGCCGGGGCGGGTTGGACCTACGACTTCCCTCGCTCTCTTTTGAGTTCTACGAATTTCTCTGATGTTGAAGCTGTGAAGGTGATCCGCTGTCTCTACACTGATATCTGCTACCTCTAAAATGGCCACTGATATCAAATCTTGCAGTTAAACTACGATCCTGAAAACTAAAATCCAAAAAAAGTACAATATCCTTTTGTAGATGGTTTTCGTCCTTGTATTATTTCGGACCATGTCGTAGGACTTTGCGCTGCCTTCCATCTGCCGCATCCCGTCTAAGAATTCGTCGATATCTAGTTCTCCGTCGCCACTGGTATCGAGAATCAACCACAAGTCGGCAAGGTCTTGTCTCTGCATTAGAAAGGAAAGGAGGAGTCATGAAGTAGTAGATGTTGAGCTAGAGGAGGGATTCTTGAGAATGTTCTTGTCCACACGTCGCGTGATACTAGCTCATGTTTACGACCACGTATCTTTCGTATGAAGAAAAGATCAACGCTCCGAGTCAGGATACTCAACAAGAACATAGTACTGCGTATATGCGTAAGTATATCAATCATTGTTTTTGTTGACTCAACCTTCTATTGCGTTTATCAATCATTGTTGCGATATTACAGATGACAAAAGTCTTAAGGAAAGATTAATCTCCGCCAATTTTCTTTGGAGGGCTTTGTTCGTCTTTATCGCCTCATCCAGTTCTTCTGCGCCGACTTGACCGCTCCCGTCTTGATCCATGGCTTTAAAAATCCCTTTCAGCAATCGCCACTGTCGGACTCGCTTATGCTCGTATATTCTTTGGGCGATCTCCCTATCTTTTGCACTCGCTGAAAATACGGACAAAATCATCGACGCGGAAACGATGTTAAACAACACGAAATTGATGGACACCATTAGAAGATTAGGTGTGGTACTTCTGATCTTCTAAGACACGACAAAATTGATGGACACCATTAGAAGATGAATATGGAGATTGCCGAGCATTGTACATGAGCGATATATCCACTGTCTGGACTTGTTCTTATTGGTTAATGGATAAAGTATAAGCATGAATTAGAATGTAGAGTACACCATTAGAAGATTAGGAGTGGTACTACTGCGTGGCTGCATCTTGTTCCTTGTGAGCCTTGAAGATGATAGTCATGACATCCTTGGGTGGAGCTTCTCTTCATTCCCTTCGGGTCCACACTCCAGGATCATGCTGTAGAAGGATGCACAAGAACTTGGGGTCGTTATCACCTTAAGACAATGGTCGAGATCGATACCAAATAGATCGCGGTGTTGTATTCACGAACGTGTCTCGCAATATCTGACCAGTGATTTCTTGTCCCCACTTGAATTGCCGCTATTAAAGCTTACGACTGAAGATCATCTACTTCTAGAGGCAGTTCTAGAGGCAGAGAGTCTCACTCTCATGTTTGGTGTCTTTTCATCTGCTTGGAAAATGACAATAAACGGCCGAAGAAAGTATGTATGATGCCCTTCAAGAACAAGAACAAGATGAAATTATACCGGCTATTTAAGCCTTAAGGTTACCATGCTCTTGGGTACGTCGCCAAACAAGTCGGCTATGGTATCGTCGTGTACTACGTTTTCGTCTTTCCCTATGATGACGCAGAAGAAAATGCCGAAGAGAAACGCCAAGAACATGAAATCAACGCAAGCCCAGAAGAGTAGACGTCCGGAAGCAAGAAAAGCTCGGAGCATTCTCCAGATAAGGTCAAACGCTTCGATAGTTTGGATCGCGCGAGCTACCTTGAAGAGCCGCAGGAGACGCCAAATTAGCGCCAAGAAGCGACATTTAATCATGCTCATCTTCTTCTTGAAAAAAGATAATATCCACCAAGACTTAGTATTCATTGAGTGTAATTGTAATTAAGAACCTACTTAAGAACGTTAACATTCAGATTAACGACGTTAAAAGCTAGCATTAACCGGGTTAAATAAACATGAAATAAGAATAACCTGCTTGTTCCAGGAGTCGCAGGAGACGCTAAAACATTGCTCAACATCTTCTTGAATGCAGCCCCTTGGGGCGTACCCTAGTGATACCATCCAATCTACCATACAATCTACCATCCAACCAACCAAAACCTAGTGATACCATCCAATCTACCATCCAACCAGAACCTAGTGATACCATCCAATCACAATCTACCAAGACCGAATAACGATAACCTGCTTCCAAGAGAGCCATAACAAAATCGAGAAATTCCGCATGAATTCTGAGGATACTCCTGCTGGCTCCAGTATCCACATCACTAAGACGCCAGTGAGAAAAACAAGACCCAAATCGCACATGTTGTCATTAGACTCTTCTAGTATCCGCATACTAGATCATGAGCCAGAAGATTCTAATAAACTTGATGATACGAATCTACTCGGCTATCTGCCTAAGATTTCCCTGACGAAATTCTAATAAACTTATCCTGAAAAAGAAAAGAAAAGCATCTTCCTTGGTTCTTGTCATTTTCATTTTCCCGTACAATCTAAGTGTAATAAATCAATGAAAACTACAGAAAAACCTTCTAACAACAAGGTGCAAGAACTCTTCAAGATCAAAAAAATTTTGAGGGCAAGCCTTAATGTAAAAGTCGAACAGCCAAGGCCACCCATTAGCTTGAATACGTGCCGTGATCTCCATCATGAAGAAAAAGGTGAAGATGTGCCTGTGATGGTGGTGAGGTGCTGTTGTGGAGTTGTAGTCGGGAAAAACGTGGTGGAGTGCGGTTGTGGGGGAACGCGGTTGTGGTGGAGTGCTCCTCGTGCTTCCAATGAATTACCAGCTGTACTCGTCTGAATGTGAATGTCATATGCTCGTCTAGTTCTAGTACTAGTACTAGTACTACCGCAGCTTCTGCATAAATACTTAGTAACAGTGCAAAACTCTGACGACGAGTCTAGAAAAAGTACTCCATGACTTTCAACTCCACGCGCTCATCGCCGCCCTTCTCTGCTGATAGTGCTAGTGTCACAGCGTTCGTCAACATAACCACTACGACGAAGATCTCGGTGAAATGAGAGAATATAGATCTAAAATTTTCGCTCTAGTACGAAGACAATGCTCATTATTTCCACCTAAAAGTAAAAGCTCCCATTATGCACATGCAGCACCCGATTGTAATTGTATATATGTTCATTCTAATTATTTCCGTGCCCGTGGTCAACATCATCTTCATCAATCATAATAAATAATATATTAATATCTACTTTGTGACTTGTTCTTGTTGTTATGCACATCCACAAATAATTTCCGTTTCGCAGTGGTGGGTCATAAAAATTAGTATTCTGGACTAATCTCGCAGTTTTCGGAAAGGGATGGACGAAGTCTGGTTGTTCTCGCCGCCTCTCTTCTTTTCTTAGAGTTGTCTGGTATTTTCTTCTGCTTTTTTCTTCTTCTACTCGATGATCTTCTGAAATAAGCCAGTAACTACTAACTAGAAGGCAATTTCAAGTTTACGAATTCAAGAGATGCATTTTTGATCATCTTCCTGTTGGTGTCCCATTTACTAGTAATACTAGTCTAGTAACGGCGATAAAACATAAACAAAACAGTTCTAGTAACCTTCGAAGTCTTAATTGTCTTTTCATGTACAGTATCCTTGACCAGAGGCCGGTCCCGACAACCAACTGCTCCTCAATCAGTTGCATCGTGTCCTTCAGCTGTTCCTTCTTGTCGTCGGAGGGAATGAAAAGAAAAAGTGGAAAGTGGAAAGATTACAAGGTACAGGATAAAGAGAGGGGAATGTCCTGTCAAGTGTCAGTGGGTACAACTACAAGATTTTTTCATTTACCGCATTCAATAGTAAGTGGAACAGCATATGATTGCCTCTGTTGCAACTGCATATGGTCACCTTCTTCTTCTAAACTAGTTTTTTTACGAAAACATTATCTTTATCATTTTACTTTAAGTTTAAAAACTGAGCATATAAAAAGAAGCGGTATTACATTTACAATAACGATAACACAAACACTATTCAACAAGGTCAAGGAGCGATAACACTAATAAACAATAAGGAATTAGAACATACTTAACTACTTTTTAGTTGCGTTTTTAGGTCAAGTCATAACCAGTTGTGCTTTTACGTCATCGATCTCCGCTAACATTTCTTGGTCTTCCTTGCTGTATTCTTTGTGTTGGGCCCCTCTGGTGTCACGCTCACCGACGTTCTGCATCGCAGTCAGAGCGGATCTTAGAAGATCAAGGTACTCGATAAACTGAAATAGCCGCGTAAAGTGCTCTAAGAGAGCTACTAGTAACCTAAAGCAGTATTCTTGAACATGAACTCACTTGCTTATTTTAAGTTTTCGAATAGTCTAGATACTAGAGGTACTAGAAAAGATCTTCATAGTATGAGACTACCATGACAATGCACACCATCTAGTACTAAACATGCATGGAAAAACTGTTGCAGTTCGTCCCGAATCCGATTCTACGTGGAAAACTTCTACATGGATCAAAAACAAATCTCCCGACTACACGTATACCATAACGCTTTCCTCTGTTCTAGACCCTGGCCTTAGAAACAAACGGACACGCTTAAACCCACATACGAATGTTAGGGAAAATTAGGGAGCCATAATATCCCCTAATTTTCCCTAAATTCTGACCTCCTCCACAAGCGTGTCCGCTTGTTCATAATGGTCATCTGTTTGCTCCAACAGAAACGTCTGTACCTTCGTCTCATGCGCTCTCTCCGCTTGATTCAGCTCCTTGGAGGCTCTGCTAAGCTCTTTCGACTCCCTCTTGGCTTGATTTTCGTCGTGCCCTCTTTCTGCTTCCTTCATTTTCTGAAGGTATTCCTTGTCGACTCCGACGCCATGCTCATTGATCTCGATGGTTTTGTTGTGAGCTTCTGGAGTGAACGCAGGTTGCCCACGTCCTTCGGCATCAGAATTGTTAGAGCTGGGTCGAATCAATTATAGGCATCCCTGTAGTGCACAGGTATCCTAGAAGCATGCACACTATGTGAATATACGCTTGAGGGACACGGCCTACAAAGGTGAATTAGCAGTGGTACCCGTAAGATTTTGTCTCTCAGTGAGTCGTGGTCCGCCGACCCTGATTTTCCCTGTAGGACTAGTGGTAGCATCGTTCAAATCGAACTCCATGTCGGATAGTTGTGGTATCTCGTCGAAATCGGAGTTTCCACAAATGAAAAATGAGGTCGGGGATGGAAATAAACTGATGACCAGTGGATATCGTCATCATTCTAGATCATTCTAGGCAGAGGGAGAGGATTCCACCTAAACCTAAAGAAATTCAGCCATCTTCTCTAGCAACTAAAACTATTATCTGACGTCTATACAATCTAAATCATATTTTTCCCTCTCCCACCCGCACCGCCTCCGCCATCTTCAGGTGTGAATATAAAAACACTCGTTTTCGATCCTTGTCTGCTTCCTCTTGGAATCAGCGTGTTCTTCGAATTCGACCCTCTATCTCCTCCAGATTGTGGCGGTCGCGAGCCGAAATAGCTGCCGCCACTTGGCCCACCTCGCGTCCCTCCAGCACCTCCGCCCGCCATGTTCAAGATGGCATCATATGCGCCATCAGGAGGCACTAATCGGCCATCTGCACTCTGCTGCATAGGTGGCAAACGACTCTTTTCTTGTTGTACAACAGAAGTTGTGGCACCGCCTCTCGCATAATCCGCCGGCGACCCCCGCGAATGATCAAATCCCGTCCGTCCGCGGGGTCCTGGTCCCAGGTCGTGTGGCAACTCCTCTTCTTCCAGGAAGACATCACTGGGAGTCAGCCTTTTCGGGTCCGGGATCTGGTACTTTCTCCCTGACGAGGCAGATCCGCCGTTCTGGATTGGCATGGTCTCTATGTATGATATTCGCCTAGTACAATATTATGTAGAATAGTTCTTCTTGTTTTAGCAAAAGCAATTTAGATACAAAAATAAATCCCGCTCATATTCAGAGGCATCGGCTGAGCCCCAGACGAGGAAGCTGAGCCCCAGACGAGGAAGCCCAGCCCCAAACGAGGAAGATCCGCCGTTCTGGATTGGCATGGTGATTACTTATTTGCGTTCCTGTCCTCCCAGTTCGGACATGATCCAGATTGCTATTAATATACATGAGATTTTAAGTGGAAGAGAGCTACATGATCGTCCTAGGTTTCTTTTTCATCGGATAACTTCCATGCCTCCTGTTCCCGCTGCTGTTGTACTCTTTGTAAAATCATATTCAGAGGCATCGGCGATTTTCTTTCTTACTCACTTTTACGAAGCTCTCAACAACTTATATGCGTCTCTCTTCAACAGTTCTTTGGACACACGAGAAATGGAGCTTAGCTCCACTTTGCCGACCGCATGATTCGCCAGCTAGAAGTTTTTTTCGTTCTAAAAATAGCGCGTCTCTTATTGATGGTGATGCATGAAAATGTCTGACGTATAAATAAATCAAGTAAAAAAAAGGTCGATCTTAGAATTCATCATACTTCAATAACATCTTGGAGTTCCTCAAGGGTGCATATGCAGGTGTGGCGGTTGTAGGTTGCAATTATGTAGGTCCATAAATCTAAGTAGAAGGATTGCAACCCCTGATCATCTTCCTGCACGTTCATTTCATCGTGAAAATAAAGGTCCCTAACGATCGAAAATCGGTCTCATAGTCCTCCGTACATTTTCGGATATAGAAAGTTCTTCTGGGCCAGGGCCCATATTTCTAAAACTATCTAAGAAAGTGCGATCTTGAAAATCTTCTCCTGCGCTACATTTGAAAACCAACTTGAAACTTATTCATTTTTGTTGTCACTATATTTTCTAAATCTGATAAAACGAGTCCTGTTGTAAACCAAGTCAAAAGTCAAAGAAATCAAAGAAGTCACAACTGGATAAACCCAGAAGGTGCTGAAAGAAGTCAAATAAAAGAGAGGTTGATCATTTTTTCCTCGAAGAAGCTCGTCCCTTAATCTGCGATAGCTTTGAATCGCAGAGCTCGATTTGTCATTCCGTCATATTCATGAAGGAACAACTACAATCAGCTTGAAACATGTAAAGTCCCCCTAAAAGACTTACTCAGTCTTGGCTTTCTTCTTCTTTTTCTTTTTCTCTGCACCGTCTGCTTCAGCTGCTGGCGCCTCTGCCGGTGCCGCTTCTGCTGGTGCTGCTTCAGCAGTCTTATCTTTCTTCTTTTTCTTCTTCTTCTCTCCTTCGGCTGCTACTGGCTCAGCTGCTGGTGCTGGTTCTGTCGCTGCTGCTTCTGTCGTTTCAGTTTTCTTCTTCTTTTTCTTCTTCTTCTCTCCTTCGGCTGCTACTGGCTCAGCTGCTGGTGCTGGTTCTGTCGCTGCTGCTTCTGTCGTTTCAGTTTTCTTCTTCTTTTTCTTCTTCTTTTCACCGCTGTCGGTTTCTGGGTCCTGTGTTGAGCAGAATAAAAATTGGTATTGGATTCACATTCGTCAATCAAAAAATTACACCCAAGATGAAGTCGAGTTGTTGTATCATGATATCTTCATTGTGAATCGACTAAAGATAAAGTGAGCCTTTATCTTCGCAAAAGAGCTTTCTTCATTACCGCTTCTTCCGCTTTTCTCTTTTTCGAGATTCCGGCTACTACTGGTCCCATCTTCGCCAATTCCGCGATTTCCTCTCTCACTGCCGCCAATGCCTCATGCATGACATCCACGTTCTTCTTTGGCTTCGTGCCTTCGACCAAAAACGTCAGTCTGTCCTCAACTTGGGTCTTCATGCGTTCGCCGAAGAGCTTGGTAGAGTGGTCGCTGAAGGCATCGATTCTTGATGCGATGGAGCACTTATTAGCCAAATATCGGCTCACGCGTCCCTTGTTCTTAGCCTGAGCGCGGCCGATGAAGCTGCTGTGGTAGAGAAGGCCGTACTTTGGCGTATTGCCCTTGGTCTTGAGAGCACGGAAAAGAGCTTTCTCGGCACCTATGGTGTTGTGGTTTTTTGGAGGTTCAGTTTTTGCTTTTGTCTTGATAGAAGGATCCTAAAAGTGTTGAATTATCACAATTCTCAGTTTTATTCTACGAAGGAGCAGCTGGGGAAGTGATGTTCTAACTTCAAAATGAATGGCTCCGGTATTTGGTAACCTGAGTTTGATCATAAGGGAAAACAACAAGAAGAGAACCCTTATGATCAAATTCAGGCTATACCAAAAATACCAGAACCATACACAAAATCAGTCATCAAGAAAGTAGCTGTAGCTGGTTGTATCCTATAATGAATCAAGCAAAAGCTCGAATATCTTCAACATAATCAGTTCTTACCCAAGATCTGCACAGTGCTCGCCGGATACTTTGCCAAGTTCGTCAAGCTTCCTGCGTGACTGATCAATCGTGCTCCGACGTGCTCGCCGACCAATGCCGCCAAGTTTGGTGCCACGATGTCCATCTTTCTCTTCAAGTAGTATGTCAACATCTGTCGCATCGCAGCCAGCTCAACAACCTGTCCAGCGAAGTTTTCGATGTTTTGCATATCGATTTCAACAATGTCTTGCCCCATGGAGATCTGCAAAGCAGCAACAACTTCCTTAGCGATATCTTCGTCACCGCAAGCCTCGACGAGCTTTGGCATGTCCTTTTCAACGTCGAATTTGTCTTTCAGTTGAAGGACGCGGCACACCTGAGATTTGGGGTTGACATGCGTGATTGTGGGAAGATGACATCTTTGAAGGAGAACCATTCGATATTCCTAGTCGTGATAGCAATATTAGGGTTTGAAATCGTATAAAAAAAGTATCAAAAAAAAGCTGATCATGCTCCTAATTGTAATTGTAACAACCATGATAGATAAAAAATCAACAAAGCAACGCACAAGTACAAGTACTAAAAAAGGTAATAAATAGTGAAGAGTTCTACCTTAGCATAGACGACGTTGTCGTTGACAATCTTTGTGAGCTCCGGAAAGTGCCAAGCATACCACTCTTTGACTCGCATAGCAAAAGTGTTGATATTCTTGTCCAAATTGTCGAGGATAGAAATCACGTTCATGATTGGCTTGTCCTGTTGTATTTTTGCAAGAGAGAGGTGATGGTTAGCGTTTTCTTTTTTTGAAAGAGAGAGGTGTAAGTTACAGAAAAGGGATACTTCTAGGCGTTTTTGTGCGTGGATGGGGGTGAGAGTGATGATGTTGCCAGTAGTTTGGTGTTCTGAAAAATGTAGAAGCATTTTTCCGCATTCATTCCTGTAGTTCAAATTCGTACCTGTCGATTTGGATCCAACTGCATCTTGTCACGAGAATAGCAGTGTGCGAGACCGCATCGCGCCTTTTGAAGGTCTTCTTCCTTCAACTCCTTGATAAATTTTGGGAAATGCATCAAGCATCCACGAAGCAACTCTTTGATAGCAGCGCCGCAGTTGCAGACAAACTTAGCATTCAATGCGTTACCGAGAGCAGCGTCGTAGACACCAAGCTGGTACCTGTGGTAAGAGGAATGTTCCATTTTAATCTTGCCAGCCTACTTGATCTTTCTTGTATTTTTTCAGAATAGGCACCATTCAAATTATAAAATTCTATTAATTCAAGAACAAGAATTCTTACGTGCTCTTCTTCTTTGCACTCGGCAGGTTCATTTCCAGAAAGTTCTCCAGGGTCGAAGTCACTTCTCCTCCAGCGATAGCTTTGCACTCTGCCAATGCCGCTTCAGCAGATTCGAAAGGCAAGAAAGCGACCAATTTAGCGAACTTCTTGAAGCCGTCATAGGTGGCGAAGGCCTCTTGAGCGGCATCGGAATCCTTGGCGATCTCCTCAGATTCGAGCTTTTGGAACAGCGCGTAGCCGTTGGCGTCTTCGTGAAGCAAGAATTGATTCATTGTGGGCAAAGTGGTTTTGTGATTGGTCTTCTAAAAAGTATAGAAATCAAATTATGAGTGTTGTAGAACAAGGTAGTTCAGATTGGTTGTAGTAATGTTGCTGATTCAGAAGAAGTTACAGTTTTTAGTAGTTGACAACTTAAATGTAAGAAGTCAAAGAGATCATGCAATATTCTTAAAAATGAATGAGTTAATATTCACTTGCTTCGCTGAAGCTTTTTTAAACACCTCCTGCTTTAGGGTTGCGGAAGTAGATGGAAGTTTTTTAAGAAGAGGCTTGGTGATGTTGTTGGGGTTGCTTCGTGGGGAAAAGGATTCTTCATAGAAGATCGAACAAAGAAGCTGAAGCGAAGCTTTATCTTTATCCCCGGGATCTCGACCTTTCAGTAATGTTCGAGATCATGATCAACTAGATTTGCAAGAGTGTGTAGATGGAGCGCCATTGGCAAGGATCTTGATCAAGAGATAGATCTTTGGGTTTGTCCATCTCCATCCATACGTGATAATTAGATTGATCTTGTGTATCTACTTAAATCCTCTTCTCTGGAGAAGTGTCTGAAAATACGTAAATCTCCTTGAGGTTGAACCTTAAAATAGATCACGACAAGCAGAGCATGAATTGGGATCTGAATTTCTTCGATGTGCTCTTGTGCCTTGGTGGTGTGATGGATTACGTAAGTACAACATTGTCATGATCACACTTTCAACGGATCTTTGACCAGTTCTCGAATCTCAACAACATTTTCTCTCGTGTAAAAAGTTGCGTCGCTGGTACGCTGTGATAGGCAGAGCTACTTTGTGTCGCATCTCGGATGATTGACTGTTGATCATCAGAAACGGATGTTATTGCTTTATTTGGAAAAGGGAATACAGGAGGTAAGCGTAACATTTTGATTTCATCTACACAGAAGCTAAAGCGTAGGAGAATCACTAAGCCCCAGCTTGATGTCTTAGCATCTGCGCTAGGCGATCTCTTTCGGCTTCAACAGTTTTTAACCTTGAGCGCATCAATAGCAGGTTGCGCTCACTCTGTCGAAGCATCAATGCGTCTACAACAGACGCCGCAGATGGTGAAACGTTCATCATCGCTGATGTGGAGGAAATTGTTCTTCCATCTCCACTAGAATTGGGCGAAATTGCTGGCCCTGCAGATGCACCTGCTCCTGTAGAAGTTTTAGGACTTGTTCCAGCAGTAGTTGTGGGACTTGAAGCAGGTACTAGATCTCCTCCAAAAGTCCCAGCTTGTTCCCTACCCGTTGTACCATCTCCAAAGCTCGCAGCAGTCAAAAGTAGTTCAGCATGTTGGATCTTTGCCAATGCTGTTGCTACCTCTTGCCGTAATCTGATATTCTCTTTCCGTATGCCATGCATCTCCTGTTCCTGTGCGCGCATTAGTTCTTTGTATTCTTCAAGGATGAAGAGGTGGGATTGATCTGCCGAAGAAGCTGTGCTGGCTGTGGCTGCTGTTGATGGACCAGTGTTTTTCGCTGATACATTACCTCCGACAGCACTGCTGCCAGAAGAAGCAGCTCCACCTCCAGTAGCAATATTGGTTTGCGCCATGAAGGCCAAAACCAATCTACGTTGGAGATGTAGGCTGAGAATGAACTGATGGTAGCGTGCCGAACAGAACCTCAGCCGAACTGCAGTGGGGGTTAAAAATTGGGATATATTATCTCCGGTCGAGGAAGCGCCAGCAGCATTTGTGGTTCCTCCTCCAAGTCCAAGCTGTGTACCCTGTTGTGTCTTGGATGCGGACGCAACACTTGCTCTACCACCACGACTTGTTCCACTCATTGCTGCTGCGAGTGAAATGCTACTGCTTTCAGTCAATAGTGTTAGTTCCGCATGCAAATCGGCAACACTTGGACAGTCTGGAATCCTCGAAAGGATTTCAGGACAGAAAGGCAACCACTGCGTGAGCAAGGAAACTAGCAAAACCCGCAAGAACTTTCGGAGTCTCAGATCACTCTCACCGAATCCGAAGTCGTTGATGTTGCTCCTCCTCGTCACTGAGGTATTTGGTCCCCCGGCCCCACTAGTTGCTGTTGATGTTGCCGCGATACTTCGTCCCACAGACAACTCCGAGAATATCTCGTTCACCAAATTCAGCATCCGGACCACCACTAGGGTTGTATGGTGCTCTATCTGTCCTCTCAACAGACTGCAGCTCTCTGTCCACAGGCTGAACGTTTCTACACAAGCAACCAAAGTCGTTACTTTTGAGAAATGGTGGAAGGCTTGTGCTTCTGGCAGCGGTGAAGAGGTACTAGACAAGCCGGAGGATAATCGACCACCTGCAGTAGAAGTTCCACCTCTACCAGATGAGGAGGATCCTGGGCTTCCGAATAGGTTTGAAGAAGAGCTACTACCTCCGCTTTGAAACAGTCCTCCAAACATAGATCCTGCACTTTTGTGGGCGTCTGCTTTTCGAAAATGCGCCAGCTCTTCCTTTAGTGGGTCTGAGACACAGACTGCTGAATAAAAACAAGAGGGTGTCTCTGCATGCCTTGCTAGATACGCGGCTGCGTCAGCGAGGTCGCGGTCACTGATCCGACTGAAAACGTCCGTGAAGAGTGTCAGGAAAAACTGCAGGAAAGGTTCTCGGGATCCGTAGTTTGGCCCTAAAGCACTGGAAGCAATGGGCACTGTAGAAAGTGCTTGCTCGTAGGTTCCTTGGTGTTGATGTGTGCTGGTATCGCCCGCTCCACTAGCACTACCTCCAGTAGCACTTCCACTCGCTCCCATATAGTAATTCCTCAACAGCAGTGTCTGAACAAGTTGTAAACAGTAGTAAACGAGTTCCTGATGATGTTCTTCATCGAGTACGGTGTCGAGAAGAGCCTTACTGGTCGCCATAGCGGATCTGCCTCCCGCTCCGCCTCTACTAGGCGATAACATATTAGTACTACTAGCTCCACTCGCGCCGCCCCCTCCAGTTCCCTCTTTCTCCATCAACACCTGACTCGTAGCCATCAGAATGTGGCATACTCTGTAGCCTGGTGGTAGCCAACGCATGGCGTTTTTCCGCAAGTAATCTCGATCTGCATCTCTGCGTTTCCGTCTTTTGATCTGTCTGCCAACGTCTTCGTCCATCTCCGCTACTAAGGCGTCTAAGGAGTTGGCAAGGGCGTTCCCTACTAGATTCGGTGACGAATGATCCACGGCACCTTGATCTTGTCCACCTCCGAAATTAGGTTGCATTGGGACAACCATATTCAGCGCAGTGCCGAAAGCTGATGCACCCATTGCAGCTGCATTCTGCAAATCATCTGAAGATGCTCCAAAACCACCTCCCACTTGAGGATGATCAAATACTTCTACTTCTCTGAAAAAAGACTGACAGATGAAATCCGCCAAATCCGGGACTGCACTGCACAACAGCGATACCAAGTCCGACAATGGGCGTCGGATTAGCAATGAGAACAGTGGCAAGCCATCTGGTGCCGGCAACCATCTGTTTTCGGAAGTGCTCATGAGCAACAAATGGCACAATCCATTCATCAAGGGCCCTCCACCGCAAGGGCAAGGTCTCAGATTCCGAGCTGCCGCTTCCTCATGAGTGGTTTCGCCTGCATCTTGAGCTACTGCGCCACTCCCTCGTCCCTGTTGGTTGTGACTGTAGGCGTCTTCGTCATCAGCACTTGCAGACTCGTCGTCCACATCGTCCCCGTCGTCCCCCCGACAAGAATTTGCGCCACCAGCTCTCAGACTAAAATACGAAGACTCGTAGAACCAAGAGGCGTCTGGTTCGAAGTCGCGCATTAGTTGAGAAAGGACAGCCCCGGAAAGGATTGAGTGTTGGTCTCCTGGGGCAAGATTGCCCTTGTTGGAAGCAATGGTGCCAACATGATCACCTTCTAAACTATTAGCAGAAGATGTAATTGCTGCTATCTGCAAGGCCAACAAGCTTTCGCCTACGCACCGCAACAAGTCCAACAGTTTTCGAGCCAGAAACAAGTTCTGCCTGACGCACAAAAACAACGACTCGACGATGTTCTGCAGCACAAATGGAATGCGCAAAAACGCCTTCAAATTCCCCTCCAATTCGGCCTCATCCAAGGTCCCTCTATATTAGAGTCTGCTAGATTGCATCTCGGCCCCCTCATCGCTTGACTCCTTTTACCTTGTATTTCTTCACGAGAATACAAGGGAAAAGGTTGACCAAGATGCCGAGAATGATGGACACTAAATCATGTTGACCATGAACACTAAATCAACATGAACATGTTGACCATAACTATAACCTCCTCCTCCTCTTCCTGCTCCAGCGCCTCCGCCACCACGCAGAAAGACTAACACGACGTCGACTAATTTCTCACACGATCTCCATCTTCTGCGTAAAAGCTCTCCCTTGGTTTCGAGTAGGTGGAAATCTTCAGGAGCTTCCTTTTCCTGTTCCAATTGATGCTTGAAGTGCGTGGCGTAGAGCTGCCACAATCGGGGAGTCAGTTCCGCTTCCCGGACATACTTTCCGCCGCGCTTGGACTGCAGGAGTAAAGCAAGAATTTCTGCATACCCCTCGTCACTGCTGACACTTTCGACATCACTGCCTAATTCGAAGAGGTACTCGAAGGCGCCCTGAGAAGTGGGTGGAGTAAGAAAAATTTAGCAGCAGGGATGAAAGGGAAAGACCCGGTGATGAAAGTAAAAGTGAAAGAGCAGAAAGCGCGAGCGAATTATTGAATATCGTTACATTTAATAAGCAAACAGTAGTTCTTATGAATCTTCTGAAGGAGTAGTACCTGCATAATCACAATGCTCGGCAGCGAGTCGCTCCGCGGCCTCTTCAACAGCTGGAGCAAGAAGTTCAAGCATTCTGCCCTCACAAATGGCGATGTCGTGTGCCTCAGAGTATCTATCAACACTTGAAACACGATAGGCGTCGACAACAGCGACTCCTCCAACTCCCTTGGATACGTCTTGTGCAAGAGAGTGAGCAGAGAGAAAATGTCTGCTCTGATGTAAACCACATCTCCCGAAGCCTCGTCCAGAAACGTCTCGAGCAAGTGAAGCAGAAGTTTGCCTTCATAGGTCTCCGAGAAAATGACTTTGCGACAAGAAGTTGCGGACTGTCTTTGTTCGTGCTCTCTTTCTTCTCGCTGTTGCTCTAGATTTGCTGTGGAAGATGATGATGCCCCTTGTCCTTGCCCACCTTGGTGCCCTGGTCCATTGGCCCCTGACGCTCCCGCAGACCCAGTTGTTCCAGAGCCACCACTTGTCGCTATACTTTGAGGCTCTTCAGCGAATTTTTTCAGCAACTCGACCAAATCCACTAGTGCTTCTAGATCTAGATCAGCGATAGGTCGGACGCGGAACTGCTTCTTGTTCTTCTCAGACGTTGAAGCTCTCTCAGACGTTGAGGCTCTGTTCGCACCTCCACTCCCAGTTCCATCTCGATCATCCACAGTCGCCACTCGCCGGAAAGCCTTCAACACGGGCAACAAGGCTGCATCGGCAACCAGTCTGCGATTTCCGCCGTCGGCCTGCACAAGGTTTTGAATGCGCTTGACTGCGGACAGGTCGCCACGCTTTAGGTCGTCAACTTCGCCTGTGACGTCGATGTGCACATCGAGGCTCGAGAATAACGAAGCGAACATTTTCTTCAAATGCTCACACTGTTCGACTAGGCACGTTATGCATTTGACGCACCTTGATGATATACATCCAGACCGAGACCTGCGGTGGTAGAATTCTACTCTACTCACTCATCGAGTTTTCCCATCTTTCTGTATCCGTACACTTCCTGTGGTTAACGAGCAGGCATCAAGAAACTGTAATGGAAATGGTAATCATCTGAATGCAACTACCTTTGGAAAAGAAAATCTTTACAACTCTGTAGGTATCATGCAACTATCAAACATCCTGCACCATCGTTGCGGTACCTCCGTGATCAAAAATATTCTTGGTTACTATCTGCTGCAATATTAGAGTGGACAAGATATCCATCCTCAAGACTGAAGGTGGAACCTGACGTAGCCGGGATGAATCTTTCTTCCGTCTTTACTTTTCGTGTAACTCAAATCCTTGCATTCTTGTTCATCACCGTAAATGCAATTTCGCATTGGAATGTTGGTGTTGATCATCTGAATTGTGACAAAAGACTAAAAGAAATAGAAAAAGCATGCCGAATATGAACTAGACATTTGATTGTTCAAATTAATATGAAGAAAAAAACATGAGGAGGAGCTCGTGTTGTAACTACTTGATGTAAACTCCGTTTATGTACAGCAGCTGTACAAAATCTATACAGATCCAGCGGTCTATATTGAAGATTCTATGATGATAAAGAGGAGGATGTGTCCCATACTACTATTCAAAGCATAAAAACAAAATGACTTTACTATGGTGATGGTCGTGATGGTTCTTGGAAATGGAAATCAACTATGCATAAAGAACTTTACACGTAACAAGCTCGGGGCTTCTCTTTGCTTGAATAGCGAAACTTGTGATAGTTATATTTACATTAACAGTACCTACAAAATAATTGAGAAAATGTGCGACCCCTTAGGGTGTCTATCCCTTGCCTGTGCTTGTGATCTTTAACTTGTACTTGATCTGAAATCGATGTTTATATAAAATAACCTGCTTGTCGTGGTCGGTGTGCTTCTGCTTGCTTAACTCTAGTCGCTAATAATTGAAATCGATTTTCCTTTTTAATAGTTTTAAGCCTTCAAGCTTACGCATTGAAACTGTAACTGTAACGAGTCTGAACTCGATGAATGTCGATGGTGTCTTATCTGAAAATTGTCAAAATGACTCTTTCTATCCTCCTTCACGATCAATCTGTTAATATTGGAAAGACAAATGGAAAACAAACTGAAACTCTAACTTCTAACCTAAAAGATCTAAGTACTATCCTAATGATAGTCTTCTTCTTCTACGACATCAAAAATCCACCCGCTGAAGCGCCCTGTCTCTTCTCTTCGCCACTCAATCCCTCTACTGCCGACATGAAGGTCTCGTAGTCCTCGGAAGTTGTACTTCTATCGGTTGTATCTACGTCATTTCCTTCTAGACGATCACTTCCTAGCTGGCGCTCGTCTAGGAATGCCCTTGTTCTGTGAGGTATTCTTGACCCACGACGGCTAGAAGATGTTCCTCGAGCAGATGAACGGCCTGCGCCTGTCGTCCTGCTCTTGCTATTCCTCATGTAGTAAAAGTTCTGGTTACGTGCTAGAGGATCATCTTCATCGTCTATTCTTTGAAGGCTCTCCAGAAGGTCCTCATCGTCCTCCTCCTCATCCAATCCTGGAGTTCTTCTACGACCTCCTTCTAGCTGTTCTACACTCTGCTGAAGTCGTAGCAGATCGACGTCGTCCTCTTCATCTGTGCTTCTCAATCGCGCACTTCGCTTGGTTTCAGCTAGACTGAAACCTCTCGCAGATGAAGATGGCTCGTCGTGGAGATGCGCTCTTCTACTTCTAGACGGAAGAGGAAGTGGCTGCTGGTCTTGGTCTGCATCAGTGCTAGCAGATGCAAAGTTCTCCTGCTCCTGTTGTTGAACAGAAAAAGACAGCTTTTGTCTTTGCGTCCTCGACGCCCTCTTGGTCGTCCTACTGCTAGTGCTACCCGTCCTACTTCTCTGATGTTTCCTTACCAGTACAACATCTCCATGTAGTTGGCCGTTCACTTTGTGCTTCCTGTACATCATTGACGTCGAGCTAGAAGAGTTTGTGCCATTGAATTCTTCGCCCGTCTTCGAAGAGAAGTAGTTGTTACTGCCTTGCAACGAATCTCTTAGAGGAGTTCTTGTGCTGGACCATTATTTACTCTCAATTTCATGAAGATCTCTCATCTAGTAGTACTTCCTAGCTATAGTATCTTCTTCACTTTAGCATTACTAGGATTAGTTAGAAGATAGCGATGATGAAGTGATGAGCATACTTACTAGAACTAGAGGGAAGAAGATCCCCACGTCGTGCGGGGAATACTTCCTAGGAATGGACACACATGGGGTAACAACCGTGATAGCCTTAAATCAATGATCCCTTGCGGAATTGGATCGATTGTGCAGACGTAGTAATCGCTATTATCCATATCCGGATCCCACAACATTGTGCAACTATCGTCCGCTTCACATGCCTGCTCACCTTCTTCCCTGGTTTTGTAGGTTGTTTCTTGGGAGTTAGAGAAAGAGAAAAGTAGGTTTATTTGTAGGTCGCTTCACTTATATGCTACAAAAAAATGTTCTCACTCCTGACGTTGTACTAGCTAAAAGTAGAGCCAGTTCTTGCTGCGGTGGTGCAGATCATGGGTACGTCGAATTCGTCCGAGTGAGAAAGTATGCAGTGATTTTGACAGAGGTGAGGTGATCTTGTCGCTTTTAGTTTGAATTTGATCTTCTTCTCCACAATTGTGTATCTATCTATAAACTACGGACATACAACAATACCTAGATCAATCGATCAAAAAACCTAGAATTACGTCAACGTCATCAGTTCTCATCATAATCTTGCATTCTAGAGAATCCAGATTGAATTCTTGGCCTTGCACATCGGCTTGCTTCACATTGTACACATTGTTGGGCACCGTCGTTGTAGTGGTCGCAGGAGGCGTTGTGGTCGTAGTTGTGTCGGTCGTGGTGGTCGACGTAGTACTTGTTGTGGAACTCGTTGTCGTGGTAGTCAGAATCGTGGTAGTAGTTGTCGTCGTCGAAGATGTCGTTGTCGTTGTAGAGGTCAGAGCAGCCGTTGTGGTTGTCGGAGCTAAAGTCGCTTGTTCTACAGCTTCGGTTGTCGCCTCGGGCACTGCAGGCGGTACCTCTGTCGTTGTTGTGCTGGTGATTGGGCCAACGATAGCATCAAAGAAGAACTTCGATGGGGGTGGCGAAGTCGTACTGGTCGTAGTTGTATGCGGAATCGCCTTCGACTCGTAGGTGGTGGAGACGAGGAGGTTAGAGGAGGCATCGATATAACTGAATTGGGTCAGGGTCACTATTGCTGTACTTGTCTAAGTTTTTCATGCATATTACGGAATCTTGTTCCATTTAAGTGGTAGGCTATGCTACAAAAAAATGTTCTCACTCCTGACGTGGATGCTTATGTAGCATTTCCTGACACTCACAGTCTCAGTCGGGCCTTGGGGGCTACTTCATCTATGAGAAAGAGAATGCGACTGTTTGCAAGTCATAACTGGCGTCGTTGTATGCGTCTTTGTAGTGGTCGTCTCCGTTGTCGTTGTCTGGGTTGATGTGAGTGTCGTCGTCGTTCCCTCTGTAGTCGTCGTCGACGTACTTGTGGTGGACGAAGTACTGGTCGTAGTGAAACCACCGTAGACGGCTGTAGTTTTTGAAGATGAGCAAAATGACCGTTTTCGATTTGAAGATGCGAAGAATTACCTACTCTTGATGATGTGCTGAACCCTATCGTGTAAGCCTTCTAGCTCTACCATACGAATACGTCCGCACTTTTAACAGGAAAGACAAGTCGAAATACAAATAATCCCATGTCTCCGCATGACACGCACTTTCGCCTTATCTGCTGGTAAGGACCCCTCGGCAGGTGGACTTTTCGGCAGTAACGAATAGCACACAGTCCACTGGTTCAAAAATTCTCCAGCTGTTTCGGCTTCGCCACTGAGGGGAGTTGTGTGTTATGATGGGGAGTTTTGCGGTGTTGAACTAGTTGCAGAAGTGGCGAAAGATATGAGTACGTAAGTTAAGTGGCTGAATCATGGAAAAATAGCGTCCGTAATGCTATTTTTCTTCTTATACTTTTTTGAAGAATTGTTAGATTCACATTCTACTCTTACCGGTACCGCAAATCAAGAACAACGAGTCAATAGTACCCGCTACTCTCCCTCTTCTGCGTAATGAATTTGCATCCCCTCAGTTCCCCATTAGCCAAGTCAGGCGCGATGCATTTTTGGATGGCCTCCTTGTACGTTACCCACTCGACGGTTCCTCCACTGCTCCTCGAGCATTCTCCGATCTCAGCAAATGTTTGTGTCCACTCCTCTTCTAGCAGTTCAGACTCGGAAATTAGAATGGGAGTCGTGAACGTGAATGTGAATGCGAATGTGAGTCGTGGATGTTGAGGGTGAAGATTTATCTGAGGGTGATTTGTTTTCTTGTGAGTGTGAAAAGACCACTGACCATAGAACCAAGGCATCGTTTCCAGGGGCTTCGTATTCCGAAGCTGAAGTGTTAAATTTCACCTTCACCTTCGGCAAAACAGTTCCCGCATCCTCTTTCGAAGGGGCATGGTTGAAGCCACTAGCTCCAAAACAGAGGACCCAGTTGTCGGTTACGCGAGTACCTTCGCTGGCTGACCGTTAGAAAAAAATTTACTGAGAGAGAAGCCTAGAAGAAAGAAAAAAAAAACTCCACACAATGCCTAGAAGGAAGCCGGTAGAGGTAAGAATTAGTTCTTGTAGTTATAAACGTATTGTGCTGAACAATGCCTCGAAGGAAGCCGGTAGAGGTACATAAAAATAGTTGTAAGTAGGTAGTTATGAATACAAACGTATTGTGCTGCATGAAAAACTCCGCCAGCAGGTCATAATCATAGGAAATCTTGTGATGCAAGAATTTGCACTTTTCGTTCATGAGGCACTGCTGACTTGCAGCTTCTAGGCTTTGACCTTCAGTATCGTGTTCGCCAGAGCACCCAAACATCTTCTTGTAGCCATGGGTATACTTGACCGACAAATGCGGCATTCCGAATCCCACCAGGTCAGAAATGACCATATCTTTGCCGAGGGCTGTTGTTGTGATTGTGAGCGTCGTGGGGTGTTGGAAAGAGGCAGACTTCTCCTGGAAGCGGTATTTGCATTTTAATATCAGCTGCAACTGCAATAGTTCATCTACTTCATGTCATCTGTCAACGAACAACAACATTAAGTAGAACAGTAAATACTATAAGTTGTAACAAGTACTATCATTCGCTCCTGGCGGTAAAAATGTTTCTCCTTCTCGTTTTCGCATGAACGCAAGGTGTGTCATCGCCGCGTACATGGAATCTTTGGGAGAGGACGAAGCTGAGCCATGGTCAGACCCTATCGTGTACTCCATGATAGCACCTGTACATCTGAACCAGGCCAGACCGGATTCGGAATAAAGACCGGTGCAGTCCGGATCAGCTAAGCACAGGTCCATTTGGACACCGGGAGGGCCGGAAACTGTTTTGGAGTCGGAGTTGGACTTGAAAGGAGTGGTAAGACTAAAAAGAGTATACGAGAAAGTTCATGTTGAAAGACACGAACGATTAGTAGTATTGTGACTTCTAGTGCAGACTAGTACGTGTTGAAAAGTAAAAAAGACTAAAAAAAGTATACGAGAAAGTTCATCATATTGGTTGAGTTACTTTTACATCACATCTTGTAGATCAAGTTCAAGGTCTACCTCTTCTAAGAACCTCACACCTCAGATACAACAGGAACAGACACGACATAGTACAACTATCTTGCAGCATAGAAGTTGTCTTGGAAATAAGCAAAAGAGCAAAAACTACTAAAACACGACCCAGTACAATCATCCCAATAAGCGGGTGTGACTTCTTGTTCTCCATTCACGTCTTTTGAGCACGTCCACTTCCACTCCGTTTGCAAACTTCCGTCTTCCGCTTGACTTTGGTGCAGCCCATGCAGAGGTGGCGTCGCCATCGGTACGAACTTTTCTTAACGCTAGTTTTTCTTTTTCTCTATGTCTTTCCACACTGATTTTCTCTATCCACACTTCTGGTTGAGTGAGACGCCCTGTCAGTGAGTCTCCGCGTATTTTCCCTTGTATACCAAGGGGACGGAAACCCAACTCAGCATACCCCACATCCATGGGAATGCGAATGGGATAGTGATAATCTAGCCTTAATTTTCGGCACCAGTCTCAGCACGTCTGGCCGCAACACACTGCTGAGACCCTACGTCCTCGCAAAAAGTGGCGTTCTGAATCGCCGTCTGAATCTGCTCCAGAAGAATTAAAGGAACTCAGGAGGAAGGGCGAGAAGGAAGCGTATTGAGCGTATGGACGACGACAAGGAAGGAAGAAAGAAGGTGGGAATGGAACTGGGAGTCGGAGGGGCAGGAGGGTAATAGTACAAAAATATTCATATTGATCTTTTTTCTTACTTATATATACTGTTACTAGACGTAGACAGCATAAAGATAAACAGCACCTGTAATGTCCATGAAGTTCAGTACAGGTACACATGTCTTTTTATCGGTTTCAATGAACTAATTCGTGTCTCATCTCATAAAGCCCATCCTTCGGGCCGTGTCGCGAATCGTTCATTGCCATCGTTTTGGCCGTAGGCTTCGAGGATATGTGTGCACATGTTTCGTCCCATGGTAAGGCATCGGGCCATCAGATAACCGATTTTCTCCGCGTACCTGAGTGAGAGCTTGTTGGGCTTGATGCTGCATAGGAAAATCAGTCACCACACGACACCGGGACTGGCTTGCTCATATGTATGGGTATGACATCTTAGTTGCTAACTAGCACACTGTCTGTTTGGGCAGTCATTCGCTACAGTTAGAAGAAGAGCCCCCCTCCCGTCAAATTAATCAAGACCAACCAGCAACGAACCAACACACAGGCAAGCCCACTCAGTTAAGCCAGCCTTGTCGGTAGCCTACGCTGCACCGAAAGAGCAAGAACCCCGGCGAGCCGCTCTGCAAGAGCGAGGCATCCACGTACCCGAGAACGCAGCGCGCTACTCCTGGGCCTGCTCTCTCCCTCACTCTCTCGCCCCACGAACGCCAGCAAAGAAGCCGCGCCAGAAGAGGCGCGAACACTTTACCACCCTCCTGCACTTTGTGCCCTTCAGACGTTAGCGGCCAAGCCTGCCTCTCTTGCGCTCGAACGAAGTCAAGACCTTACTGTGTGAACGCCTCCGGTGGCATCTGTCTCACCCTAATCCAGTCCACGAGCCTGAGAAGTTTCCCCCTGCCTTCTAGCTATCCAATCGCCGCCGCCTTTCTCCAGTCTCCTCGCCGTCACTGCCGCCAGCAGTGGCCGCCGCGCTCATGGATTTGCAGCCATTATGGGTCCGCTGCCTCCTCTCCTTCCGCGTCGCCGTCATATGCCGCCGCCTGTGCAGCAGCCCGCCGCGCTCGCTCTACCGAGGAACTTCCTGGCGGCAGAGAGTCGACCGAGACCGCTCCAGAGGCGTGCACCGTGTACCGGGGTGCCGCCTCTGCCTATCGCCTGCGTAGCGAATCTCGCGGCAACCTCGTCAAAGCTCCCAACTCCAGCACCCAAGCGCTTCCATATCTTCCCCGCGTTCACAAAAGTGACTGATTCTAGAGTAGGCAGGAGCTACTCTAAGAATGATTGATTTTATTGTGTGAACTTTGATACTTTGGAAGTTCTTCAGATTGAAAACATGAAAGCCAAAGAAAAAGCCACTCTGGCTGTCTATGACTTGTAATAATACAACGCACAAAACTGCCACTTAACTCCGGGAGGAATCGACCTTCGGATGAGTACAGAAATCGAGCCAAGGTTTCGAGACTATTCTGAGCTTCTGAAGCTCCTCCATCGTTTTCCCTTCTGTCTTCGGAATTCGAAATGGACTCTGAATGATCGCTGCGAGCTCATACATACTCCTGCGAAGATCGCTTCCTTTGACCTCTTTAGTTCCAGGGATTGTTTCGGCTGCGCAGAGGAGTTGAGAAATCTCATATCCGACTCCCTGGATTTCCTTGCTCAGGTCTTCGCTTTCGGCTTCTCGACTGCTTTGTATGTGTCTTCCTCCGACAGACGAGTGGCGGATTTGCGGGCCATCTCTTTCCCCGGGTTCTCTTGAAGGTTCGTAGCCATGCCACTGTTGTTCGGTCTCGCGGGGCACACGCCGGAGACGCTGGGCAAGTCACCTCGACGGTGCCAAAGTCGACCGTAGCGCCCTGCCGCTCCCAGACTGTCGCCCAGTCTTCTCCCCCATTAGCTGCCTGCAAGCTGTAGACCGACACAGCCCCAATCTCGACACCCGTCGCCACCCTTTGCCAGGATATCCATCAGGTGCGAATGGAGTGCCACACTTGCGCAACTGCCCACCTCCCCGCTGGAGATTCCCGCGACCAGCAGCCCAGAAGCGTGCAAAATCCAGCGACCAAACCACGAGGGCGCGCCATGACTCGCAGTCGCTTCGACCTTCAGCAGAATACTACACAGCCACCGCCCCACCCTCGCCCCCCTTTCACTCGACTACATTCGCCGGAGAATACGGCCAAGGATGGCCTTCGAAGGTGCTTCCGCACAACTCCCAGGCTGCTCGTTCGCAGAGCTGCGCGGGGCCCAGGGCTCTCTGCGCTTGGCGGCTTCCGTCTCCGTTGCAAAAACGTAACGCCTTCAGATAGTCCAAAGGATGAGCTCTGACCCATTCGCCCCCCCCTTCTTCTTTCGAAAGCAAAACCCCACAAACATCCAGAAAGGGGCAACGGAAGGCATTGAGATTGACTACGTGGCGCCTGCCAATAATTAAAAACACGAGCGCGGGCTGACTTGTAGCAATGGAGTAGAATCCGGCGCCGGCCTTGTTTCCACGCTGACAAATTACACGACGCGCGTCGCCCTTACTTTACCAGCTTGGCGGCGTCAGGCTATTGACGTGGCGAATGTGCAAGGCCTTCGCCGCGAACCGCTAGTAGTAGATTCGTCTCCATGCCCGCGCCCCGGGTCTCTTCTCTAGCAAACTCCGCTGCAGCCCGCCGCCACCATCCCAGGCGCTGGCTTTCAGATGGCTAACCCCTCCAAGCCACCAAATGGGGGCACCGAGTGACCCGCCCCGGCTCTCTCAGTTGCCAACCCTGGCCATCCACGCGCGCGGGCACCTTCTCCAACAGCTGCCCGGGGTCAGTCGCGGGTGGGTTATCCGCCTCAGAGCTAAATGCCGAGGCTGAACCAGATGCAGAGAACGTCGCCCCCTTTTTGGAGTGTGTCGCGGCTTCTATCTTAGGGCCCCGCCCCTCTCGAAGTCACATCGAAAGGCGAGCGCGGGCCCGATAGCTTGTAGACCAGAAGAGGAGCGGGCAAAATGGGGCGCGCAGTCATGCGCTGCAAACAACGGCAACCAGCCGAGCCCCTCGGTGCCCACGACCGCGGCCGGCGCCTCCCATTGCCGTCTACTCCTTGCGCCTGCCGTTGAAGCTTGGCGCGAAGGCCTTCGGGCTTGGTCCTGCTCTCGGGGCTAATCCCAGGCGCTGTCGTATCGGCGCAGCATGGATCAAACAGTGGCAAAAAAAACAAGCTACCATCTCCCAGCTTCCGTTTCCCATTCGTCAGCCTTTCCATCATCGTTATCGTCCTGCACTGGCCATGACCACTTGTCTTTGCCTGTGCTGCCTTTGATATCGTGCAAAAGTATCTCTGGACCAGGGACAACGCGGGCGTATGTCCCGGGTGGGCTTGAGTTAGATAGAGGATGCGAGTGCTCATTTTAGAAGCTAGTGGCGATCGCCAATAGTTGAATGAAAAACACCAGGCATTCGATCTCGATCAATATGACAGTGGCAGAATCAGAAGTGGTACACTAAGACTAATATTATCCATAAATGGATATTTTCCATTATAACTACTTGTTGTGAAAAGTTTGTTGCGATTGCGATTGCGTTCAATTTTCATAACATATCTTGCGGTGAATTCTTCGGCTGTCATGTTTACCACTCCTTGGTCCATCTCGTGCATGTCGTGGATGGTCGCGACGTTCAGTGCTGCAGGGAAGACGGCCGTCGTTTGGACCTTGGGTGGTTGAGAAGATGTCATCCCTGCTGGTACGTCTACATGATCTTCATCAGTTCTAATACTCATTTTGAATTCCTTCTCGCTGTACTTTCCTTTTGTCAGTCCCACGTTCGTCTCGACGTCTTTCACGACTTTCTGCAGATTTTGCGATGCGGTTGTCGATGCCACAGCCGCGGCAGCAGTAACACCTCCGCCACGACCACCTCCAGCCGCGGCAGCGTTCGTAGCTGCATCTCCGCCACCACCTCCACCAGCAGCAGTCGTGGCATCTCCACCACCTCCACCAGCAGCAGTTGTGACATCTCCCCCACCTCCACCAGCAGCAGTCGTGGCATCTTCACCACCTCCACCAGCAGCAGTTGTGACATCTCCCCCACTTCCACCAGCAGCAGTCGTGGCATCTCCACCACCTCCACCAGCAGCAGTTGTGGCATCTCCACCACCTCCACCAGCAGCAGTTGTGACATCTCCCCCACCTCCACCAGCAGCAGTCGTGGCATCTCCACCACCTCCACCAGCAGCAGTTGTGACATCTCCACCACCTCCACCAGCAGCAGTCGTGGCATCTCCACCACCTCCACCAGCAGCAGTTGTGACATCTCCACCACCTCCACCAGCAGCAGTCGTGGCATCTCCACCACCTCCACCAGCAGCAGTTGTGACATCTCCGCCACCTCCACCAGCAGCAGTCGTCACATCTTCATCGCGGTCTTCATCGGGATCTGCAGTTGCAGGATCCTGTGATTGGCCTGCAGACGACGACACTGCGAGTAGAGCAGCGCCTCTGGTTGTGCTTGCTCCACCTGCCGCACTACCTGCTGTTGTCGCAGAAGCGCCACTTGTGGTCGTCGCAGAAGCGCCACCTGCAGTTGTCGCTTGTCCCGCGCCAGCGGATGCACTTGTTGCAGCGCCACTAGCTGCCAGAGCGGTTGTCGCAGCTCCGCCACCTGCTGTCGTAGCGGAAGCGCCACCGCCACCGGCTGTTGTCGCAGCGCCTCCTGTGGCGCTAAGAGCTGTCGTAGCTACACCCCCAGCACCACCGGCTGTGGTCGCAGAGCCTGCTCCTGTGGCGCTCAGAGCTGTAGTAGCTGCAGCTCCGCCAGTTGCCAGAGCGCTTGTAGCAGGCCCGCCAGCTGCCGGAGCGCTTGTAGCGGCGCCACCACCAATTGCAGTTGTCGTCGCATCATCACCAACTGCCGCAGTAGTTGCACCACCACCAGAAGTTCCTGTCGTTACAGTCTCACCACCAGAAGCAGCTGTTGTTACAGATCCACCACCAGAAGCAGCTGTCGTCCCAGTCTCACCAGCAGATGCTGCTGTCGTCCCAGTCTCACCAGCAGATGCTGCTGTAGTCCCACTTGCTCCACCAGAAGCGGCTGCTTTCGTCCCAGTCTCACCACCAGAAGCGGCTGCTGTAGTCCCACTTGCTCCACCAGAAGCGGCTGTAGTCTCCGCAGAAGCACCTGCTGTCGTACCGCTACCTCCAGTCGTTGTACTACTCGCCGATAACTGTACTGCACCAGCAGTAGTGCCCTCTAGTTCGATGTCCATGTCGAGTCTCTTTTCACCTCCAGCCTGAATCCCCATCGCAAATTCCTTGTCGCCTCCAGCGCTGACCTTCCCCTGTAGCTCCGGATTCGTGTCACCTTTCATGCTCGTTGTTAAGTTCATTGCTGGCGCTTTTCCGAGTACTGACGACCGCGTGTCTCGAGTGAAGACAATCTTCGTAAACGCGCTAAAGCCCAAGCTCCCGATGTCTTTTTAGAGGTAGGTTTTTGGTGCTTGCTTACCCCGCTTTTTATGCCTTTCTCCCTTAGGAGAGGCATGAAAAGCGGTAAGAAAAGCACCTTTAACCTACCCTTAATCTTTCCTGCGTTCCTGGATTCGCATGCCGGTCAATTGGGCATCCGCATTAGGAACCGGCACACCTTTGCAAGCGTGCCAAATGCCTGGCGAGTCTTTGCTTTCGAGAAGGAAATCACAAGTAAAGTCCGTGTCGTTCACTGGAGCGCCGGAAAAGGAATGAAGGTGGGGACGAGGGAAATGTGCGAATGCGAATGGGTGGATCTTCATGTTGGGGGAAGCTTCTAAAAACGATCAGTAGCTATTCTGTGGGAGGCTAAAAACGATCAGGGAGTTGAACTTGTGTAGTTTCTGTTATACTTTGTGAGTTTCTGCTAGACGAGGGTAATTTTATTGATTTTCTCACTCATGAAGATAAGTAATATTAAAAATTCTCCTCCAAAAATCATAAGGTTTCGCCATCCAGCCTAGTTGTTGCTGTCTGTTCTGATTCGAGCAAAGGGCCCATGCCTGCCCCAGCACCATCTGCTCGCCAGGGATCAAACGACAATCAGTGTTGAGCTTAGCCCCATACTGGACGTAGGCGTTCGGCAGATACCCTCGATCGCCCTCATCAATGTACGGAATTGGCGTCGTCTCGATCAGTCCGGTGGTTGCGTTCAGTGGAGGTTAGAGGAAGGTCATAGGTTTTGAAGGTAGGTACAGGTACAACTACACAGGTGAAGGAAGGGAGGTGAAGGAATTGTTGCTATTCAAATCGGAGATAACATAGAATTAGAGATCTATGTCTGTCGTGATCGTGTAGATAATGATGTAGTATACCAGCGGAACCAAGCAGCAGAAAAAAGAAAACAAAACCGTACATCAACTACCTACATCAACTGGAGTTTGAAGGAGAATTCATAACTCACTTGCACATCGCTATCCATCTTCATCTTGAGCTTGATATCTCCAGGCTCGACCGCCATCTTATCAATGTCATCTGCAGGAGTCCCAGCTCCAATATCAGTCTCCATCGTAGCCTTCATGTACTTTTTTCTATTAGAACAAGATGCTGTCGCTTTCCCCTTGTTTGAGAGTGGTCTGAAGTTGTTTGAGAGTGGTCTGATGTAGTCGTCGTGCATATACCACTGGACCTTGCTATGAAAAGACAATCTTCATATGTATAAGGAGAAGTATCTACTCTTGTTCATAATCATATGTAAGGAGAAGTATAATCTCTTTCAAACAGTACTTACAGAGATGAAACATCAAACAGCATTGCCTTTGTCACATTGTCATTGCAACTAGCCTTAGTAGTGGCATTTCCTTGACCCGGGACTTGTGTCGTTCCGGCTCCTGCACTCTGCGCGTTGAAGTTTGTCCCCTTCGTGGACATGGCGGTTATGCCAGAGGCTGTTGTCGCTGCTTGCGTGTTGGAGTCTCCAGCAGTGCTACTTTCTTCTCCTTGTGTACTAGCTCCATGATCGGAGGAATTTGTACCAGAGGGTGGTGCTGCAGAAGTACCTCCAGAGGGTGCTGCTGAAGTTCCAGGAGATGCTGTGGCGTTGCCTCCAGCTGTGGTTCCTGCAGGAGCGGCTGTCCCATTGCCCCCTGCCGCTTCAGCAGGAGTAGCTGCTCCGGATGCCGCTGTTGCAGCTGCAGTAGCCGCTTCCGTTGCAGGAGTAGCTGCTCCGGATGCCGCCGTTGCAGCTGCAGTAGCTGCTTCCGTTGCAGGAGTAGCTGCTCCGGATGCCGCCGTTGCAGTCGTGGCACCAGCCGACGCTCCTGCAGTTGCATTGCCTCCTCCTCCAACTCCTGCAGTAGTAGCAGCTGCCGTCGCTGAGGCTGGCGCAGTCGTACCTGTCCCAGCAGGAGCTGTCGAGGCGCCTGTAGCTGCCGTAGTCGCCGCTCCTCCTGCAGGTGTTGTTGCGGCTGCCGTGCCAGCAGCTGCAGTCGGACCCGCTGCGGCTGTGGTCGTTGAAGCTGCGGCTGCGGCTGTGGTGGTAGCCACGACAGCAGGTGCTGCACTAGTTGCAGTCGCGTTTGTTGGAGTTTGCTGTTGCTTTCTTTGCAACGCCGAAGGATCTCCTACTTCTTTTGACTTTGTATTTTTACTGCTTTTTCCCGCCTTGTTCTCATCTTCGTTCATATGGGCATCTAACAACGCATCTAAAGGATCCCCTTCACTACTTTTCGACGACGAAGAGTCTTTGTCTTGCTCTCCTGCCATAGACTCTCCCTTCTTCTTTTCCCTATGTGCTTGCAGCAGCTCTTCTAAGATCTCCTTCTTTAGTTGTTCTCTTTCTCGACTGTACTTATGCAATTCTGCGCGTTGTTTCCTCTCAACTGCCCTTTGTAGCTGTTTATTGGCTTCCCTCTTTTCCTCTTCCCTGTATTCCTTCATCATCTGTGACTCTTTCGTGCTGAGAATCCTATTTTTCTTAATAGAACTTGTGGAAGTTGAAGTAGCCGCGCTACTGCCTCCTAACCAAGAAGAGCCACTAGATGAAGCTTGACTCGATCCTGATGAAGACCAAGGCCAAATTCCTCCGCCACTGGAAGTTGAACTTGATGAGGCAGAGTGGTCACTAGCACTAATAGACGATGCAGCAGTACCGCTTCCACCAGAAGAAGATGTCGCTCCTGCTGAAGAGCTTGATGAACTACTCCCGTCAGAAGAAGCAGAACTCGAAGATGAGCCAAAGATTGAACTCCAGATGTCTCCATGTTTGATTCTTGTTCGCTTCTTCTCCCCTGTTTCCGTCAGGACTATGTGCTGCGCAGCTCTTCCATGACCGTGCCCGGATAAGGCATCCTCTGACTTCGTCATCTGCCCTTCACGACTAGAAGATTGTAAATAACTATTCTGTCTAAGTCTATCTGCTTGAAGAAGAGACAAGTGCTCATCTTCAGGAGCATGATCACGTGGTTCGTTCGATGTGTAGTACTGATCCTCTTCTCGATCTACGTTCTGGTCCTCAGATACAACTTGTTCTTGGACGACTTGTTGTTGTTCAAGCTCATCCAGTTCGTGCAAGTTTGCGCCTCTTGCTACCTGCGAAATGCACAACGTTGTATTCAGCACTCGCCAACATCTTCGTCCACCTTTTCCACGTCCTCGTCCTCTGGGGTAATGCGGTCGCGATCCCGAGGAGGACGAGCTACCCATCATCGTAGTCCCATCGTGTCCCGACATCATCACGCGGGAGGTCTTCTTGAAAGACCACGTACAACGTGGATACAGCGCTCACCAAAAAAGCTCCGTAAACCTCGGATAGGCGTTGACTTCATCGCCGACTACATGAACCATTGGCACTACTAGTACTATGCTCTTCTTCATTCGGTTTGTACTTCTTCATGCCTTCATCACACAGTCATTCGACTTCAAAAAATAGGATAGGAGGTCCTAGTGGAAGAAGATTGACCGAGATGTGTTGTTTTTCAGAGACTTTTGCCAACAAACATTCTCTTTGCTTCTTCATCCTTTTTTGCACAGACGCTTCATTTTTTTTAGAGACCAGCATCGGGAATGGGACCACTTGTTCCACCAACACTATGATTCGTACTTATATATTTATAAACATGCCTCCTGAACATCGTATCGTGCGTCGTTCACTCTCATGCTCGATGCTTCCTACTTGATAATGCCGCAATAACACACGGCATTTTGAATGTCTGGTGAAAATCCAACTTCTTCATTCACTTTTCGTTTACGTCTTCGAGCACTAAACTCCAACACGTCCTTTGTCCATTCAATTATATGATCACAACAGGTAAAGTTGAGTCTTTTTAGCAAGGCATAGAGCCACCTTTATGTTTTTTTGCTCAAAGAAGGAAACGATGACAAGTCAACATGAGCAAAATTTGAAGCAATTAGGCCAACAATATGCCAACATCAAGAGTTGAATGCTTAGGAGTTTATGAAATGCATCCGAAACTCCTTCTCCCTGTCTGCCTCTCGAGCTTTGCGTTCCTTCAAGTCCAACACCAAAGCGCACAAGAATATGGAACAAATCAAGGTAGTACACACGTACAGAATCAAGTACAAGTACGCGCCAGGGTTTACCACTAACTGCAACTCCCACTCTAACGGGGAGAGGTGAACTTCTACGGCGCTGTTGGGCACAATCTGAGCGCCCTGGAAGTGCCGGTAGAATTCAGAACGGGGAGCATTTTCTTGCGTCGTCATGATCTCTCCGTCTCCCTCATCGCGCAAGACTGGCCCGGGCACAGAACCAGCTACAGCATTCACCTTTTGCAGCCTCTGTCTCTTCGGAAGAACTCCTACAAAGAAGTTTTCCACATAGGAATTCGAGCCCGCCAATCCGACGTCTATGAACGGTAACTGCAAAGCACCAAACTGCGTTTGACTCAGCTGTGTACTTTGCGACCTCTCTCTTGCTAGGTTTGCTGTGAGGAAACTGATCTTGTAGGTGACGCCATACCCTGGTGCACGACGGGCTGCCGCAATCCGAGGATCATCGTGTTCTGGACGTGGAAGAGGGGATGAATGGAGGTGTTGTAATTCTTGGCCGCTCGTCGCTTCTTCTGCTTCGCCGTCTCCAGGTCGCATATAGATCGCACTTGTTTCTGCAGAAACACCTAATGCATTGACATAGTCACCTGCAGCTACTCCGATACCTCCTCCAGTGTCCGGAAGTAGAGGTGCTGTCCCCGGCCCTGCTACCGGTACCTCATGCGATGCTGAAGCAATCGTCTGCGCTTGCATATGGAAGAAAATGTCTTCGACTACAAAAGGACGTGGTTCAAATGTGTACACGTCTAGGTCGTAGGTTAGCACGCTCGAAGATTGCTGTTGAAGTCGCAGCTCTCTGGGAGTTTTTTGGTGTATTCTCCAAGCAAAGACTTCGAGGCGGCCGCTGACTTCTCCAAAGAAGGAGGAACCTAGGTAGTTCCAGGGTGTGAGTGGATGTGTCCCAATCTGAGGGATCGATGTAGGAGTTTGGTATTGATTCGGTAAAGAGCTGCTAATGGTTTGCGGGCGGGGCACAGCCTGCTGCTCAACAACCGTGGCGGCATCGGATGCCGAAGTGTGTATCCTGTACCCATCATCTGTTGTCGCTCTTCTTCTTGGTCCTGCGGTGGCTGTAGGTGCAGCTCTAACACCACCAGCACTGCTAGGATTTTCAGCAGGTGTCGGCAGGTCATGCAGATCGTGGAGGATGAAATCGCCTTCATCATTCTGCAGGAGATAGGTACGACATATCGTTCCTACAAGCGCATCACGACCGGCAAGCGCAAGAATTCCTGGTGTAGCTCCAGTAGCAGTGGTTGCACTTCCGCAGTAAGTAAACATGAGATCCAGCCTTCCATCTCCATTCAGATCCGCTGCTCGTACATGCCCATTGTTCCCTAGCCACTCACCACGCCAAGCAGAGTTCTCTTCTTGGTGAGTGAGAGTGCTGGAGGAAGAGAAGAAATCATCTCCTGGTGGAAGATCTTCCTGTCCACCATGTCCATGGCCCTCTGCCACGACGTGAACCGCGTTTTCCAAAGCTTTCGCCCCTATTTGTTCCTCCACCAATTCGGCTCCTGCAACCTCAACGACTTGTCCTGTATCTTCTCCTGCTTCAAGAAGAGGAGCCGGTGAAGTATCTCCTCCTGCTTCAAGAAGAGGAGCCGGTGAATGTTCTTGTTCATGCTCACGACCAGAAGGAGCAACTGCACTGGGTCTCGCCTGCTCGGATGCAGTTCCAGCACCTCCTGTCGCAGGTGTTGGTTGCTCGTCTTCTGCATTCACCCTCGTGGTCTCATGATCGTTACCTTCAACCCCAGCCTCTGAGCCTGTCAATCGCCTTTCTGATCCAGGCGCGTTTATTTCTTGTTCTAGTTCTCCTACTACTAGCTCCCTAGTAGTACCGCTAGGATGATCTTCATCATCGAAATCCACCACACACACAGACACTACAGAAGGAGAATCTTCCCCTTGGTCTGCTCCTTCTACTGCTCCTTGTGAAGACGCCTGCTCTAACATCTTCATCTCGATCTCCTTCAAATGCGCAAAATAGTTTGCAGCATTCGCAAACGGGCCACCTCCAACTCCATTTCCGCCACCAGTCCCAGAAGCTGAAGAGGAAAAGCTCAAGGCCCTCGAACTCAGAGATGGGGGCGAAAAAAAGAGGTTTTTTGAGCATTCTCGGATTTTCGCAGGGTATCTCCACCAATGATCCATCTCATCTTCGGAGAGGGAATGGAAGCCGAGTTGATGTGCGTCGGAGGTGGAAGCTGCTGCTGCTACTGCTGGACTCGCAGCAGCAATGTCAATCGTGGTCGTTCCACTGCCACGCCATCCACTCTCACCGCACAAGTTTTCTTCTTGCGGTGGCAGTTGAAAATTGTAGTGGACAAAAAGCTTCTTTTTCCACATGTAGAAGAGTTCGACTTTTCCGAACCCGAAGAGGTCGCCGAAGCCAATTTGCCCGTAGTCTTGTGCTGCACCGGGAAGGGGGAGGTGGGATATGAAAGAGGAAGGCGAGGAAGGGTTTTGAGGTAGCTAAACTACTAAACTATGATCTCATCATTGATTCTAGAACAAATTGAAAAAAAATCCGATTCCAAAGGTTAAATTGTGAGATGTTGTACCTAAATGAATATGAAAAAGTAATGATCAATAAGTATATACCGAACAGCTTGAGTTATGGCTACGCACTTATCAATATTGAGCATCCAGTCATAACTTGGACCAGCTTCCACTCATTGTTCGCCGCACTCCCACCAGACGGATCATATGTTGAGAACATCAATACTCTGAGCTGTCCAATCTCCGGAGAGTCGGGCCTTACGTCTTGAGTCACCAGCACCAGCTCTGGAATGCAATCGCCGTCTACATCCACCGTAGATGCTCCATGTTGTTTGCTTAGGATGAAGGATGCTGAACTGTCTGCTACTGCTGAAGCAGCTTGTTGTCCTTCTGCTCGCAGAGTGGCTTGGCCAGAACTGTCGCCTAGTGAAGTAGTTTCTTGGTGTCCTGCTCTCGAACTGGCGCCTTGGTAGTTACCAGGAAACGGTAAGACCTTGTGCAATTCGTGTTCGTTGCCACCACCTGGATAAAAGAGAAGTGCCGAACTAGTAGCACTTGTTGTCGGGTGCTCACCTCCACGTCCACTGTAGTTATTTGTTGAAAACCCACCACCCAGCTGAAAAAACCTCACCACATTTCCTTTCGTCTTATGGATATACACCAAATCCATTGCGCCATCGAGGTTTATATCAGCCAAATACGGCTCATTCACACTCTCGATCAAATCACTAGTAACTCGGAAAGAGCGTGTAGCGAGAGTCGACGTGCCGCTTGGTGGAGAAGGAGGGGTCTGAGGCTGAGCTGGACCACTACCTTGACCTTCATCTTCCTCTGGCTGCAGCTGAGCAAGATTCTCTTGCAGATATACTTGCGTGACAAACGAAGTACTAGAACTTCTCAAAGAACTACCAGTACTTTTCTTACCTTCCCACACAACCAGAAAGTCAGGTAGTCCATCCAAGTCAATGTCATATGGCACTGCGCGTATTGGCGTAAACTCGATGATATCTTGTGATGCTCCCGCGAGAGAAGTTGGCTCTGCCGCTCCCGTTAAAGTAGGTGCTGGCGTTACCAAAGGTACCACAGGATCCACCTGTGCGAACCTAGGTCCAGAAGAGGCTGGCCCTTGAGATTGTATGAATACGAGGTTATGTTGAACTTGTTGAGCTTGTTGTATTCCACTTTCTCCTGCTTGACTCGGAAGATTCCCACTTTGCACACGAACCTGTTGAAAGGTAACCATATCCACATGCTTTCCGTCTCTAGGGACCCAAGCTACTGGTGGGCCAGGAATCTTCGGCACACCACGCGAAGCTTGCAGTTTGACATTACGCCAAGAGGTTGGGAAGTCTTGGTCTAGACCAGACGCGGAGGATGTTGATGGTGGTCCATGGTTTTGCGTTGCTGCTGCTGCAGCAGCAGTGCCAGTGGTGTGCACAGCTCCTGAGGAGAAGGCTACAGTGGGAGCTGAAGGTGCCATGTTTTTGATTGTGTGCTATTGTTCTTAGGCGAAGTTGTTGTGATGAAATATACTTCTCTCGTCTGGAAGAACAAGTTTGTTTGAGGTCGCGCGTCCCAGTTCCATAGCGTTAAGCTTGTGTTGCTTTTTGGCTTCGAGTATGCCACTTACCTCTCTCGACGTCGACGCTTGTCGCAGCAGCATACTACTAGGTCATCGCTATTGGCAGCTCTAGCTACTAACAGCACCGATCATTCAATTACTTATACTGCCGCCTGTGCCTTAGCCTTGCGCTGCTACAAGAACAGATACAGATCCATCCACATGAACATCACACCATGATCAAGAACGCTTTATCCGATAATATTGCAGCCGCAGCGATAATCGGCACCTCGGCACAGAACACGGGTGTTGGAGCGAAAAATGTAAATGCCCGCTTTTTCCGATAATCATGCATTTTTGCAACGATGATGCGCGTTAGGGATTGATGAGGTCGTTAGATGTAAAAAATAGCACACAGAGATGGTTATTTCGCTGCGCTGGAAAATGCTAAAGGAATTCCAGGAAATGCAGTCCACGTCACACATTTTTTAAGACGACAAAGCTGCCAACTTTTCCTCTTCCGACAACTCTTTCCTCTCCACTCCTTCATCCAAAGGCGAGATTTCGCATTGACCATCTGGATCTATGATCTCAAACGTAAACGCCGTATCCACATCTAACGCGCCTTTCAACTCCGCTACTGCCGCAACGAGGGCCGTAGTGTCTTGTCCCGCATTCTTACTCATGGCTGCATGTTGTTCGAGGTTTGTAACTGCACGCGCCAAATGGTTGTACAAGCTGTCGACAACTACTTTTTCGCTGCCCTGAGACTCGAATTCGAGCTCTGGGATTCCCCATTTGGCGGGAAAGGGGGATAAAAGCAGCGTTCTAAAGAGATCCTCAGAGGTTTCCACTTTGATTTTGAAGGTCTGGGCTGATCGGGACTCTGGAGGAGAAACGGAAAAAAGATACTTCTTCTCCGCTGCTTGGTCTTCGGATGTCGCTGTTTCTCCTTCGGGGGCTGGCTTTTCCCTGTGAGTGTGAATAAGATGACATGAGGACGAGATAAAATGCCAATGCTGGGAGAAATTCAGAGGAGACTATTTGTTGGCGACCACTCATCGTTCGATTGAGCACACCAAAACATGAACCACGACAATGTAGATGTACGCAGCAAAAGCAATCTAGCATAGCATAACAACATCAGCTCCATTTCATTTTCATGGCCATCTATCCTATCGCGCGTGCTTGCGATTCCTCAAAAGAAATGAAACATAATGGTCCTCGACGTGATGTAAAAATAGTACCAAACTCTGACGTGTGGCAGCTTCCTCAAGAAGTCCACAAACGAGCATCCTAAAGCATCTCTGAACTCCTCGACGTCACCATAACCCAGGTCGTTGAGTAGGTAAAACTCAATGCTCTCGACTGGCAATTGTTCTGCTTGAGAAGCGAAGAAGATCTGTTCGATCTCGGAGATAATTCTGGCCACCTCCTGGTGCGATGCGTCAGCTGAGAATGCCGCTAACATGTTGCTTGTTGTACTTGTATTTTTCTTCCTTAGATAGTACTCGTAGTTGGGAGTTAGATAATCGATGGATAGTCGATATCTGTCTAGTAAAAAGCAATTCGTAGTTGGGAGTCAGACAGTTGTGACTGAAATGACTACCCAAACCAGTACAAGAATCGATAGGGTCTAGTACAGGATTACTTAATAACAGCGAACCTGGAGAAAATATTGAGCAAAGCTTCTTGACGTCGAAAACTTGCGGTCTTTGTCAGATTATCATGGTCGCGAAGGATCATCTCTCGGGCGTAATTAAAGCATGATGTAGTAGATCTGCGGGACCAGACCACACGCGGATCTAAATGATCTGTTCTTTTCGTGATCTTCGTATCTCAGCATTGCGATAGTATGATCTTTCGGTTTCGAGCCTGTGTAAGTGTTCGCTGGAGAACAAAAAAGGGAGGAAGTTAGTTAACGACGCGTTAGTACAAGATTTCTGGAGATCTTAACAAGCTAGTTTGCTCTACGGACGTGCTGTCCTTTATTTTCTTTTTATTGTAGAATTGGTCGTAGTAGAGGCGATCTAGCCGCGTCAATGAATCTGAATGGTGCAAGAAAATTGAAATGAGGAGTAGCGTAAGAGTAAGTCGTGCGAGATGCACATACCGATAGTACCATAAGTTAGTCCTAACATTTTTCTAAATACATCTTCATCATCAAGTACTCATTCATTCGAAACCGAGTTCGAAACGTAATGAAAAGAACAACTATGAATCTAAATTGCGATGTCGAGTCATGTGGTTGTGGAGACAAGACTCATGTCTAATTTCTTGTAATGTTCGTCCCAGATGAGAGAAGCATAGATACCATTTGAAAAAGATGACACCCAGCAGAAATTTGAAGCCTATATTAATATCATACGCTTGCAAATCTTTACTTTCCTCTTCTTGCAAACGACATAATCATGTGTGTCTGGGAGCCCACTTTTTTTTCCTGCATCTGAAGAACTCGTTCCATGACCTTGAAAAAATCATCACCCAACTACACCTCCCCTCTCCCATCAACATTTCAAGCGTCTTGCAGTCGCAGGTCATGCATGATAAAAAAACGACTAGAAGTACGTGTCGTGCGTACAGGGAAAGGAAATTCGAAAAGAATTCATCCTCCCCAAATGTTTTAAACATGAGAAAAAGTCAAAGTTCTCCTACACCAGCTCGTCCAGCACCTGCGTCTTGAAAGTTTTCAAAACTTCTCTGCTCCCCTGTTCTTGGTCTACTTGATCATCCACTTTCTATCGCACACCACCCTAGTATCGGAATCTACTTACTTCGTCGGCACAATCTCCGTCCAGTTGTTTTTTCGTGTAATCTCGGAATCTACTTCGTCGGCACAATCTCCGTCCAGTTGTTTTTCCTCGTGTCCAGAAGATTCATGATTTGGAATCGGATTTTCTTATTGTCAGTACTTTGGCCGAAATCCATTAGCTGGAAGAAGATGGCTCTGAGGTCTTTGTGATGCGGCCACTCCTCCGTATCAAATTGAGGTCCGATAACGCCGAGGAAGATCTGAGGATTGAGTAGTGATAGTGTGGTGTAATAGGATGGGTTTGGGTTATTTGGGCCATAGTGTGGGGATTTGTGATGAAAAAAGTAATAGGATGGGTTTGGGTTATTTGGGTCTGCGTTGTTGAGTGCAAATAACGAGGATGTTTTATTTAGTTTTGCATGTTGGCAGATGAGTAGTGATAGTGTGGTGTTGCTGTAATTCAAACGAGGTACTTAGTCGATCAACAAATCGAAATCACATTTTTCACGACAGCTAAGTATTAAACTGTAAAGTGTATCATGTAGAGCAAGTTGTACCAATGACCCTTGATCTTATCTTGTTGAGATAAACTCTCTAGACTCTAAAGTAAAAAACAAGTTCTTCTACCACAAGATTCTCCAATCTCGCTGGGTCGTTTCCCTCCAACAACATTCGGCACAACAGGATGATCATCTTCGCTGCTAGAATTTCCTTGCAGATCAGTTTTCCTACAAAGGAAACCGTTCCCTTCATAGCGTTCTTATAAGCGGTCTCTTCTTCCAACTTTGATTTCATTGCTGAGGCTTCGAACTCGCGTTGAGGCGCCTCAAGGTACTTCTCGAACGTCTCTTGGCACGTTCCGAGTAGGATAGAACGGAACGTCTTGGGTGCCTGTAATTCAAAAAAAAGAGGCAATTTAGGAGTAAAGATGGTGTATCTGTGTGTTTACATCGATCTGTATCATGGAAGAGAAGAACATGAACTTGTACTTACTTAAATGTTTAAGATGTTGAATATGTTGTTCGATGCAGTCTCGATAGAACTAGTTATAAGGGACAAGCTCTACTCCTGCATAGACTCAGTCAACATAGTACAAGCTCCCCGTAAGAAGTACCACTCCCTGAATCCCATTTGCCATACAGTATTCATTCAAGTTGACACACAAGTCGGTGTAAGTGTCCAAGAAGGAATGCTGTTTTACTGCCTTTTGGAAGATCTCATCCGCGAACATGACCACGTCTTCCTCACAGTTTACCGCTTCTCGCATTTGCTTTGACCTTTTGAAATGATGATCTTGAAAGATGAACAGGTACTGGACAGTAGATCTCGTGTACAACGAAACCACGTTTACACGACATTTAGCATATTAAGCATTAATACAATCACGACTAGTTGTTGCGTAAGTGTAACACTCCTGCTCAAGACTTACTACACTTGAAATAAGAACAAGAAGTGAAAAATAGTTAGTACAATGATTCGAATTTCTGCGGGCTCAGTTTGTTCAAAATGGCTTTGATTTTTCGGAGTTGTACTTTCTTCTCTTCTTCGGTATAGGGTTCTGGTGGGGGGAGTTGTGGTTGTGCTGGCTGACTAGAGGTAGAGGCTGTTGACGTTGTTTTCATTAATGACGAATTCGATGGCTGTCCCTGGCTCTGCTGGTTTCCACGTGGAGGTGAGCCCCGTGATTCTGGCTGGAAAGAAGGGGAATTAGTTCCATGACCATTCTTACTGTAGGATGGACTAGCCGCGTCTTGTTTGCTACTTGTAACACCCTTCTGCCCACTACTAGCAGAGATGTTGTACTGGTCAATATTTTCCTTACTAGCAGGATCCCTTCCGTAACTACCTCCACTACCACTACCTACAGGACCATCTTTACAACTTGACGGTCCACCTGCATAGCCTGAGTCCTGTCCACCTCCATAACCTGAGTCCTGATATGATTTTCCCGCCTTTCCTCCACCTTTGTTTGATGACCCTCCTCCATACTTCGATCCACCACCTCCATAGTAGCCATCCTTGCCCTGTTTTCCTCCACCATATCCACCATATCCTCCTTGATCCTTATCACGGGAATAGCTTTGAGGGTAGCCGTAGTCTCTATCGCCTCCTTTGTTGTACTCTCTGTCTCCTTGCCTATCGCCGTAGTTGTTGTACTTGCCGCCGCCTCCTTTGTTGTTGTTATATCTGGAGTTCACTGGTGACTGCTCGTCATCGTCGTAGCCTCCATTCCTGACGTAGCCGTAATTGTTAAGAATGAGAGAGACAAAAGTGATAGAAGAGCAAGAGATGATGAAAATCTAAGAGTTGAAGCTGGCATTTCAAAGCATCCTGTTAATAGAAACTCATGGCATTTCAAAGCATGAAAATAAAAAGCAAAAGCTCATTAAGAGTAAGAGAAGTAAATACTTTCTGCCTCCAGCATATTTTCCGCCGCCTTTGCCATAGCCTCCGTATTTTCCTCCTTTGTTCTTGCCTTTTCCGCCCTTGGAATAACCGGTATCGTAATCGTAGTCGTCGCTCATCTTCTGAAGGCCTTCGAATATGCAACAAACTCAGTTCACTCGATGCATAAAAAAACGCTTAAGCAGCACGTGCTTTGTTCTTGTTCTTGTGCAAAAAAAACTATAATCTTTCTGCACTCACTTCTGCCTGGTGGTCGTGGTGCAGCTGGTAGTGTAAAGTTCTAAAAATATTGCCTTGAGTTCAGGAATCAGGGTCAACAAATGTTCAACATCGGAAGCGTTGACGGCAATCTAAACATTGGTGTTTATAATCACAATTTCATTCGCAGGTACAAAGATTTCTGTAATTCTAACATCTGTTCATCATTCGATGGAACATTCAGATTTCAATTCTCACGCACGGCAGGGGTCTGGATCCAGGATAGAATGTCAGAAAGGACTCAAAATCAGAACACAACATCGAGCCGTAGCTGTTCCCGTGTCGTCTGAAATCTAATTTTTGTCAGTAATATTCACTTGAGGGAACGGAAGTACATTATGAAGATTATGTTGTCGAGATCCAAATTAATACCGTGGAGCCCGATTTTCGAAATTTTCAACATAATCCTATGTTTCTCGCAAGAAGAAGAACTACTACAACATGCAATTCAATTGAATGCATTGTGTGATGTCTATTCTCATTTTCTAGCAGGAACACTAAATATGAATGCCAATATCTCATATCAATACCTTTATCATAGATCGATGTTCACACAGCGAAAACAACAAGCAACTTACTAGTAATAGTATGTGCAATTGGTCGTGCCTACTTATTTTTGCAACGGATAAAATAAAAATTCACAGACATCAGACGTGATACAAACGAAGTGTGGCTCTAACTAAGAGGATCGCCCTCATAGAGATAGAAGCCAAAAAAAAAACAACAACAAGAATAAGGACGACCACCTTGCAAAAGGACAGACTATCCTTGTTCCCGTGTCGATCATATATCACAAACGATATTTTTACTTTCAACAAGGTTAAAAATTCCACGTGGAGATTGAGCACCAAGCCTGCTCCAAGAACTTTGGTAAACTGGCTGCTGTTGTACAACTCTAGGACGGTGGTGGTGATCGACATGATGTTGCTGCACTACAGGATTTGGGAATATCGAGTTCTTAGCATTACTGGCGTAGTTGGCATTCACGGGCATCGACATTGGTTGGCCCAGCACAGAAGTATATGCCGCAATCGGGGGTGAGATAGCTCGAGCGTTGAATATCGGAGATTGAGGAGGTCCCTGTGCCACCGTCGCTTGATGTTGATTTGAATGCAACCCACTTGCAAGACAACTGTGCTGAGGCAGTGCGCAAGGATTAAAGGCCTGTTGAAGATGCGTATCTGTAGGAGTTCGCGGTGATGCAATAAATGCATGTCTGGAAGCTATTACGGGAGAACCATGCGTGGTTGTACATCCAAAAGTGTTCCCTAAGAACGGTGCAGCCGCAGCCGTCGAAACCATTCTTGTTGGAAGAGGTGACTGATGTTGACCCTGCTGAGCTGTTCCTGATCCTGTTGCTGTTGTTGCTCCCGACAATGACGTAGTAGTTGCGGCTTGGACAACTTGATGAGGGTGAACATGATGATGGTCTGGAGCTGGATTTGTGCTATCTGTAGGAAATGCCACCTGCACAGGGTGAGGGTTGCTGTCAGGTGGAGGTTGTTCAACAGAATTTGTAGGGTTGACTCGTGGTCCTGTTCCGTTTCCCATTTTTTCAGTACCGCTTGTTTTACTGGAACTACAAGACGGAGAAGGTCCTGCACGACATGCGCTAGAGGCTCCTCCAGTTGAACCGAATCCAGAAACAGTGGTACTGGTGCGAAAGCTTCTTGGCGATGGTTCTAGAACCCTAGGCTTAGGTTGAGGAGATCTACTGCTCGTCTGTGGGGATGAACTACAGGATTTTACAGCAACGGGGCCGACTCTTCGCGAAGATGAAGCACCTCCGCACAAGCTCCCTATCCCAGAACAACTATACCTTGAAGACAATATCCTCGGACCGGCAAGAGGTGGAGAAGCCGGTCCACCTACCAATGGACTTCCAGGCGGAGATGACTCGCGAACGATCGTTGTAGTTCCAAATCCGTGTAGAAGTGGACCACTGCTTCCCGACCCCTGCAGGTGAGCTCCAGAGTTTGCAACTTTGACATGAGCTGTAGTCTTTGGTGTCCTCGGCCTAGGTGTCGGACTAATTGGCGGCGCGGGACTTCTAGGAGTCGGGCTTGAAACGGGACTTCTGCTTTGATAAAATGTTGGAGTTGCTGCATGTTGTCGTACATCAAGTTGACTTGTTCGTATATGGTGTGCTGGAACTGGTACAGATGATGCAACACCTCTTCTTCTATCTTCTGAAGGTTGTGGCGAACAGATGGGACAACTCTCAACTTCAACATCTGTTCTTCTTGACGATGAGCCTTGCTGTCGAACTCCAACTCCTGAACGCTCATGAAATTCACCTCCATTCACCAATTCCTCGGATACTGGTTCCTCCTTTGCATCTGAGAGCGACACAGTTTCATGATTCCGTTGCCGTCCTTGTTCACCCCTTTCTTCTAAGCGCGCGTAGGCCCTTGCTGCTGCCAGCTCGGCGACTAGTCTCCCTCTCTCGCGTACCTCTGCGGATGCTGCGACGAGTGCGGCTAGTAGTTGAAAGGAACGGAGGACCCGTAAAAGGGTAGAAGTCGGTAAAAACCGCAACATGAAGGCAGCGCCAATCTTAATCTTTTTGCAAAGAAAATGGAATCAGATCAGTGAACAACATGAACTGTTACTTGAAACTCTTAACTCAACTTTTTATGGTCATCATGATTCAACAGCAACACAAAAATACACAAGAAGAATTTTTACAAACGAGGACCGTATTCACCTTTACAAAAATCACAGTAGAAGAATTCGAATTCGTAGAAGTTGTAGATGCTCATAATATTAATGCATCAGCATTACACAAAATGAATCACACCAGCTGCGTTACCCTAAAATCCATCAATCGTCCCCTGAGATGAATGTCTCGCAGGAGTTTTTCTTCTCAACGAATTCGAATCTCAATCTTTCTTCCGGCGCCTAGGTGCTGTCAAACCGAGTTGCGTTTTTACGTTCTTCATCCGAGCTCAACTTCTTCGTACAAACATGATAGAAGCAATAGAGCGTTGCAAGAAACTTCAACTTCTTTTCACGTCAGCGGAACCGGAGTAAAACACGAGTAGTTCAATGACAAATGGCTTCCCAGAAGCACGTGATGCATTCTCTGACAGTTTTCTACCCGTTCAACAGTGATGATCTTCTAAAGACGAATATCTATCTTCTTAAGACATGCTTTCATATCTCCTCAACCTTGTTCACCACCTGTTCCTGTATCAGCGTCCACTGTATTCATCGCTTCACTACCACCACCTACCCCACTAGCCCTTTGCTTTTTCCTTTCCAACCTTTCTCTTCTCAAGTCTACTGCTTCTTTCTCTTCGTTCTGATTTTTCCTAACGATGATCGCGACTTCTACTGCTGCTATGAGGAATATCAGAAACGGAATAACCGGATGCGTCAGACTAGCCCACATGCCTCCTGGGCCGTCTGCTTCTGGAAAAATGGCTGCCCAAGGAGACTTCTTGGTTTGTTCTTTTAATGGTGGTTTGTGGTTGCTATGTTGTCCTGGTGGTGAAGAATCGTTACTCGGTGAAGTAGGAGTTTCAGAGGAGGAAGATGTTGACGCTGAGGAAGATGTTGAGGAGGAAGATGTTGGTGGTGAAGATGTTGGTGGCGAAGAGCCTGAAGCAAACTCTAAAACAGGCGTCGATGGAGTTCCCGACATCCATCGAGAAGTGTTGGATGACGAAGATATTGTTGAGCCAAGAAAGGCTGGGGCGCGTTTCCTTCCGATCCAAGAATGCGCATTGTTTGTTCTCAAGGTCAAGCTTCTCCTCGTCTGCAGGGTCCTCGTCAGCATTTGCATAGCAGAGCGGGTGCTGCTGCAACTACTCGTCGCACGATTGGCCATAATTGCTAATGTTATCGTTTTGGTTTTCCTTACTTATACAACTTATAGATACAACTTCATATTAATCTATCAGGGAAGATAATGTTGTTACCTTCATCTACTTTTGTTCTACACACTCCAGGTTTTAATGGAGTGAAAACATAAAGTTTGAAGTGTGACTGTGATGTGTTATACGTCGTTTCGCATTCGCATAGCCATATTCGCCTCATAATACGTCCTGCGGGCAACAGCAAAACCAAAATCCTGTTCACATAATTTGACCCTTTGTTTTGGTCTAACAGCTCCAACAAAAACATCCATCGTGTATTTGTAGTTTCTATGTTGATAGCCGCAACATGTTCGTTGATGCTCAAACTACATGTACATGTTTTTAAGAAATTTCCAATGAGTTCAAGAGCTCATTTTTTTTTCATTTCGCAAAAAAAACATTGAATGAAAATGTTAGAAGAAGTGTAGAGAGAGTTCATATGTGAACATGAAATAGCAAGCGTTTTCGCTGCCACGACCATGTTGAAGTTGAGTATTCCAAACATTGTATTCCTTCAACCAAGGGCTCTCATGATGACTGGAGACTCAAGATGTTCTCTTCTCCTCATAGAATCCGCTATCTCCTCCATGTTTTTGTTCGGAAGGTTGTAAGTTCTACTTTAGAAAGTTGTAGCTGTAGTTCTGTCGGAACAGGACTACTGCTACTACTACTTCCAGGTGAAGAGCAGCTGTTGTGATACTATCAACTGGAAAAAGGTCTGCGAATCCGATCGACCCGAATCGTATAAATATTGTTCGAGTTAGTGTTCTATTGGATCGCCATCGTCCTTCAGGAGTGACTCAGGAACCTTGCCAGTCGGCGATTCGGCCTGATAACGTCGTGGGTCCTGGATCTCAATGACCCTATTCAGCACTAGGGAGAAGAAGATTTCCTCTCGGAGCTCCTCGGACGGCCGTCCTTCCTCAACGACGTCCTTTTTCCTTGTGTACTTCGGCACGAACATATTTTGACTTTGACTTTCGGTTTCGGCATCCTCCTGACGATGACCTACTAATTGTTGATAGAGGTAGTTCGGCTTTCGTTCGTTCTGGTCATAGTCGAGGCTAACGAAGAAGTATGGATACATTTTGAGTGGGTGTTCCTCGTCCTCGCTGCCTTTGGGCACCAATATCTGCTGACTGTGCAACATCACCCACAGAAAATCGCTGTTCTCACCGCCAACCTCCATGCTCGACCAGATTGGCTTGATCCTGAGTAGGGGAAAGTCGTTTGAGAATTCTTTATTTGCTACTCTGTAGATGCGGTTGTCTTTCGTCAGAGTGTAGTCGGATTCTGCTTGTTGTTGAATGCCATTTTCGATGATGGCCTTAATGAAGTTCTCTTCATATTCTTTGCTGCCGAATTGCATTTTGTTAGTATTACCACTAGTAGAAGTTGCCCTCTTTTTAGTGTTGTAGAAGTCCTGAAGTTTTCCTGCGTTGATGGTGTACTCCTGCAGCGGCACTTTATTGTCTTCTGGAGAGTAGAGTTCCTTGCCCGAAAAGAGGCCTTCTTCAATAAACTTCTTGCGCTGATCCGGATGCTTTTTGATCTTTTTCTCTATGACGTCCAGAGAGTGGCTTTCATGCCCGTCATCCCTATAGAAGATGAAATTGCGAAGCGGATTTGTCACCAAGGTGAAGAGGTAGTCCGCAACATCGCGCTTCTCTTCATTCTGCAGAGGAGCGCCCTCCATCGCGGATCCACGGGTCTTCTTCCCGAGCTCCACGACCCCGTTCAGCACCAGTGAGAAGAACACTTCCTCTTGGAGCTGCTCGGATTGCGTGTACCTACTTTGTTGCAGTGCTACATCTTCGAGTGGTCCACTATCTTGATAGTGCGGTACACGAATATCGAAGAAATCCTGAGGCGCGTAAAAGTAGTCCACACCGTCTGTGTTCGAGTGGTAGATCATTACTGAGAGAAAATGGGTTGATGAAGGCCCATCATCGTGCGCCTCTATTGTTCGGAATATCGGCTTGATCTTGAGGGTTCTTTGGTTCTTGTCTCCTGATTCCTGTTCCTGTATGATGCCTGTTTTGATGATGGTTTCGACGAGGTCATCCGAATACTCGCTACTGCCGATTCTGATGGAACCTCTATCAGTGTCTATCCTAGACCTAGTGTCCCTGAAGATTTCGAGATTCATGGTGTTGATGGTGTACTCCCGAGCCGGCACTTCCATAGACGGAGTGGGGTCGATTGTTTTGCCATCAAAGAGGACGTCTTTGATGAATTTTTTCCGCAGATCATTATTAATTTTGTCCTTCGCCAGAGCAGCCTCAGCGTTGATTTTGTCCTGCGGCAGACGAGTAGTCTCAGCGTCTAGTGTCGGCATCTCCAACTCCAAGATGCGTGCTTTGATATCGCGCTTGTTAGAGAAGATGAAGGTGTCAACGGCGGTAGAAACCTTGCTGTGAACGAAGTTAGCAGCGGTATGAGCCATGCCCTCGATTTTCTTCCAGGCGCGCGCAGTCTCCAAAGTGCTCGAGCCGGGAGTGATGTGGCTGTCGTCGGTCTTGTTCTCCGCCACAGCAGCGTGACTTGTGTAAGTGAATGTTTCCACACTGCGAGCAGATGAGTCTTCAGCATCCTCATCGTCAGAGGAGACAAAGTTGCTTCCACCAGAACCCGTAGTGTTCTGCCCGGACGTGGTTGGCTCCTCTTCTGTTAGACCTCTCCGTAGATCATCTTTCAACTCCTGCATCCCTTGAAGTTGAAGTTGAAGAGTTGATGTATAAGAGTTAGACTAGAGTAGGTATATAACACTAGGCATAGATAATGCGAACAGGAATGCGAATAGCACGAGAGTATTCTGATCGAGCATACTTTCTTCAGAGGTCGATGCTAATGGAGCATACTTTTCTTCAGGGATGCGGTCAAAGTCAAAGATCTAGATCACTCAGGCATCATGATTCATTAAGTTGTACAGCCTTAATTCTACAACCTCAGATTGCATGGCAACAGATTTCCAGGTGTTGTCAACAAATCGGTACGCTGACCCGACCCCATCCCAAAAAAAGTCAGCCATACCCGTTAAGACCATCAGCTCTAAAGCGCTCGAGAAAGTACTGGGCTCGTCCTCACGAAGGTCGACATCATTTTCGTTAAATTAGAGGAAGAGATACAGATATTGATATAGCTGTAAATTCATAATTTATCCACCATCACCAGCTTCTACTCTTAATACCTTGCTGCATCTCAACATTTCCGGTACTCAGAGAGCAAAATTTACCAGTGAGAATGTCGATGTAGGTCGAGGCCCTCCTCGGACGCGAACGTGATGATCTAAGTAAGCAAAAGATATGGGCTATTAACATCTGTAACCGTAATTGACTGCGGTGCCGCGGCCGTTTGTGTCCGCTGTATCTTCGCCAGATGAACCACAATGCTCGATTTTTTGCACTTGCTCCACCTGATGGTTCTTGCCGTCGAGAGCAATTGTTAGAGGTAGCTTACCCTTATCCATCGCGAGATGCATCCTGATCATGCTTCTCTCTCTCCTTTTTGGATTATGGTTCCGAAGATGGATTAGGGAGAGCCTTAGAGTTACCACCACAGGACGGAAAATACTCGCCCCAGTCACCACCAATCCGGCCGCGCGAGCAAGCTTTGGCAAACGATTTGTGGTCACCATCTTTTGTCGAAAGACCCAGACACGCGTTGTGTCAAGCACCTCCAACGAATGTTGGTTATAGACGAAACTCTAGGTGTACAACTTGGATCGCAAATTATCCTCTAGCAGTGGTCTCAAAACTCAAATCGGTGCACTATCCCTCTTATACTTCTTCTGGTGCTCATGATAGCGGATAACAGCTCAGACGACAAGTCTTCAACCTTCACTTGATCCATCTCTTCTCATTCTACAAAACGTGTTGTGAGAGTCAACTTGATCCTCTTTTCGGTCTCACTCCGGAAAAAACGGAACACGTAGGCATGAACATAGCAACGAAGTCCGCAGCAGGTGGACACGCATTCAAATTCATTCAATATTGTATGCTTCTAATAAACGTGGGTGATGTGGGATACATCTCTATTAAAGAATGCAAACTACCACACCACTGCACACTACCACCTCACAAGTGGAAGTGCTGCTGCAAGGAAGAGTCTGGTTGATCAACAGCATGGACTAGCGTTACGACTGAGAGAGATCGAGATCCTCAAGAGCGTTTCAGCTGCCCCCAAGGGCAAGTTGCGCATCCTTCTTGACGTTGACAGCTTGTTGTTCACTTACTTTTACGGGCACTTTTACACCATGTCCGTGATCATCTAATGTCGGTGACTCGAGCTTCCTCCTTTTCTTTGTTTTCGCGTCCTCGTCCTCCGGGTCCGCATCATTATTTCCCTCCCTCTCCAAATGCTCTTTCTCCTCTCGCACGCACTTCTCACATTGACAAACGAAGTTCCAATGCTCCAGCACTTTGCGTCGTTCTTGAAACGTCACAGACTCGGAATCGAAATCCACATAGCTTATCGTCAAACTCTCACCCTTGCGCGCTGGTCGCCTTGTTGTTAGTTTTGCAGAAACTTCAGAATTTTCAGGGTTGATTTGGATGTCTGCGTCGACATTTGGGTCACAGCTGTGGTTGCAAAGGGAGAGCAGGGAGAAAACAGCTTTGATTGACGAGCTACGAAGATCGGAAGAAGGCGTTGAAGATGCAGTCGTCGCGGCAGCCCCTAGTATATTCTGACTCAAGCGGCCGGCGATATCCTCTAACGTAGCTGCGGATATCAGGTCTCGACCACGCTGATCAGAGCCAGCGATATCCTCTAGCGTAGCTGGTGATATCTTCAGGTCTGCTCGCCCACCCTTTTGTTCATCGTTGCTGCTGGAGCAAAAGAATGCTAAGAGAGGATCTTGCTTTTCCCCCAGCTCGCCAGCAGGTGCAAATAACTCCGCATATATCGCCTCAATCGTCGTTTTCTCAAATCCGAGTTGATACTCCTTCGGCAGAGGCCACAACCGCTTGTACGCCTGTAGCCTGATTTCCAAAGCCTCTCCCAATGTGGAGCAAGGGATTCCTGGACACCTTTTCTTCGCCTCTAGCAAGTTTCGTGCGCCGGTGTAAACGTCGCAGAGGACACAGGCTAAGGCGAGGACATTAACCGCAGAACCGTTCGGGCAATGCTTTTGTTCGAACTGAGCCCACCGTTTCCAAGGTAATGCCGGAAACCGAAGCCACATCTTATGTGAACTGGAATTTCTTGATATTAAAGGATCTTCTACAAAAAGTGGCTCCTCTCCTTGTAGTTCGGCGTTCGTTTTGTTTTCCAAGCTGCTCTTTGTGGCACCCTTTAGCTTATCCTCTAAAACCTCCTTTGGTGATGCCCAAAAAATCAAAGCCTGATCCTCTAAAAACCACTCGTCAGCTGGAAGATCACTGGCTGCGACCATGAATCTACCACCATCCTCGCTCTGAGCAATATCAATGTACTGGTCCAGTCCTGGACACAGGCTAATGAGCCGCCGGAAGTCGAGGATGTTCTCACCGGGAGTGGTGGCCGTGGAGGTGTCGTTGGTGTCGTTGGAGAGTGACATTCTTTAGGAACAATTGAAGAAAAAGGCGCTTAAGGTAGTTAGCGAGTCATTAAGATAATCAGATACAGATCCTCAAACACAAGAATTCTCCATGGGGCCTGCTTGTAGTCGAGGACGAAAGGCGATGTCATTCATATTTCATATTACTTAGACTGTTACTCCATTGCATAAGTACATGACGTAGCAAGGCATGAGATCACGCGCATCTTGATCCTTGTTTCGTTTTCTTCGAAGATGATCGCCTCGAACTTGAACCTGCTGCTGGATTTCTGCATAGAACCAGATCTTGATCTTGATCTTTTCCCTTCGTGGATCTTGATCTCTCTTTCGTCAAGCTCCATGCGCTAGTATGCAATGCTATCAATGTGCAGGTAGACCTATCCTCCAGGACTAAGGCGCGAAAGGCATTTTTGAGCGTTCAACCGCTGCCGGAGTGTACAACTCCCCTGCTCGTCACGGTATCAATCTATAAAGCTTCATCTTTTCGATTCAATCTGTAATATACAGCGCACATACGTTGTTTGCATCTCATTTCCGTGGATCGACCCCAGAAACAGCGTTCAGAAAAATGCTGATCTTCAACTGACCATTTTAAACGGCATCTGTTCTTCATCTGCTAGAAGCACCCCAACACCTTCATGTGCGTGGCCACATACTGTGCATTTCTTAGGAAGACTGGGAATCAACATGGTTCTTCTTCTATACTGCATCGACCGTCCAACATTTTCTGAATCTGCGAATTGCGGAAAAGTGCAATTCCCACAAGAGACCAAAGAAGGAAGTTCTTCAGTCCGATGCGGTAGGTCATTGTAGACTTCCACTTGTTTCGGCCGTCCTCCTCTTGATGCAGCAGAGGCAGCAGTAGTGGAAGAAGATGATGTACAACTTGCTCTAGCCTCTACTGAAGAAGAAGTTGGCACAATATTAGAAGCGGCCGCTAGAACCCCTTTCTTGTCCGGCGATGAGAATCGACGGTTACGCGTTTGGTCTATGATTTTCTTCATTGGAGAAGCGACACGTCGAATTGATGAGGCTGGTGACAGTTCTGATTGATGTCCTTGAGGAATGCGTGTTGCTCCAGATCCAGCAGGTCCGATGAAAGAGCCAAGAGTCGTGTTAAGTGCTGCATGGGCTGCATGGGCGTCTTTTCTTGGAGATGTGAAACTGGCATCGTCAGCGATGCTTCGACCTCTGGTGATACCAGCACTGGAACTACCTTGACTCGCAACAACAAACACCCATTCCAGCTTCTGGACATCTAGCACAATCGAACAGCCGCATTTTCCGCAGGTGGTGTTCTCAATTAGCTGGAGAACTGATAAGCAGGCGTCACAGTTAGCGCAACGATAGTCGAAGTTGTTTGCTACGTTTCTGGTGACGGAACTCCTCAGCTGTCGCCTGACTCGAGTGCGAAGGAGATCAGAGCTATCGCCGAAGACGGAGTCGGATGTTGAAGGGTCTGAAGTTTGATCATAGATGAGAGTGAGGGGACGAGAAAAGATCAATAGTACAGCGAACGAGGTTGCAAAAATTCTAAATCAAACTGGTTTGGGAAGGACAGCGTCGACAGGGACAGAACGGTTGAAGAACGGAAGAAATTGTAGTACCTTTGCTCACAGAGCCCGGGCTTCCTACACTGCTCTGATACACCGCTCGAGCAACAGCGTGCTCTCCGATGCTCAGATAGAAGTCGAGAACAAAGAGTACGAGATCAGCAGTGTGCGATGGATTCGGTAGCAGCTTAGAAAGGTGTAAAATCATCACGCTCGTATCCACTGCTTGCCGACGTTTGTGCTGATCACAGGGCAGGTCCTTCTGTGGATGTTGCCACGATGCTGCAGGAGTGCTTGTCTCGTCTCCACCAGCCACGATGAAAAAGAACTCCAACACCCGACTGAGACGTAAGTAGTTCATGGCGTCTACGTTGATGCTATCCTTTAGCCTTGTCTTCTTTTCGTGCTGAAGATTGTTCGAGTGCTCCTCTACAACTCGAAAGATCTTGGAAAGCAAAATCCGACTTCTGGTGAAATCCCGATCTCGAAGCATCATCGTAAAACCACGTTGATGGCGTGCTGCCATGGCTGTCTTCAAAGCGTCTGTAATGCCAGTGGATGACGCTGGATCGTACTTGTTTAGGGCAGTCACAAATTCCGCTTCTTCGTCGGCAAGTTGCGCATCTTCCTGAACGACGTGGACGACTGGCGCAGGATGAGGCTTTGCTTCTTGTTCTTGTTCCCGGCTAGTGCTGCTCTTTTTGCTTGGCACGGCATCCACGTGTTGTTTCGCTGAAGCAACAGGTGATGCCTCTCTACTAGAAGGTGCTTGTGACGAAGACGAGGATGAAGAAGACGAGGAGGAGTCTTCTTTGTGGTCGTCGGAGGAAGTAGACGCACTGTCTCCACCTGCGTTTGCTGGACTTCTAGACTTGGCCTCTATTTGTGTCGGCGAACAACCTTTTTCCGCTCCACTAGCTTCCTTCGATGTGGTTGCTTCACTAGAAGCTGCTTGATTCGCTCCTCTTCTTGCTCTTGTCTGTCCCCGCGTTGCTGCCTGTGGTGGGGCAGCGAAGGCTAGAGAGGCAGACACTGGCCCAGCAGACAAAGCAGATGTGCTGATTTCTTGAGGTGGTCCTCGAAGTGCAGGGATCTGCTTACTGGAAAAACCTCCATCCTCATCACCAGCACCATTGATTCGGATCTTCCATTTCTTGCCCTCAGTGAACTCAGACGTCGGTAATGGTACGGTGCGCCACGTCGTCAGCTCCTCTGGCCTTCTAGCGCTGCTCCAAATACGAATTTCAGCTACTAGCACATTAGTAGTTTTTAGTGTATTAATCTGGCTTCTCTTTTCGTGCTCAGTCGAAGGAAGATGATTGGAGTTACTCGTTGTAATGGCACCCATGCGCCATACAAAGCCCGAAAGTGACGTTGACTCTTCCTCCTGAGTGACGTCAGGAACTTCACATCGAAACTCTCGAACACCATCGACGATTATACGCAACTGCATCTTGGAGTGCTCGTCTATCCTGTCCGATAGAACCGCAACATGATGCCAGCGTCCGGTTGAGATGGGCATATCGTTATCGTCACGGTCCAAAGACGCAAGAGGGTCCAGGATTCCTCCATCTGTCGTCCCCTGGCCTTGTTTCTCTACAAATGGCACCTCACGCACACCCGCATTTGTTTCCGAGGATGGACGTTGCAAGCAAAACGAGCCACTACGAACATCGTAGTACACAAGCATACGCGGTTCAGGTGTAAGAGCTTGTAGAAGGATTAGGTGTGTACTAGTTCCAGCAGTTGTATCGTTGGCAACCTTCTCTTCTCCTTCTGACAAGAACAAGTGCATCTCCAGGGTCCACGAATTTCGCATGTCAGCAGCTTCATCGAAGACCAGCAGATAAGAAGGCGTTGATCCTGATGCTCCTATGTTCATCTCCTCTTCACTATCTGAAAGAACCACTACTCTAGATCTTCCACCTGCTCTATCTCGAGTAGAATGATGCAAAGTAGTTTCAGGTTCGCCATCACTGTCAGAATCCGCCACTATTCTTGCTGGCACATCATCGTCGTCATCGTCTTGTCTGTTAAGGCCTTCTGCCTCTTTTCCAGCACTGAGTAGCTTCTTCCGTGCTCCAGTAGCCCGTGGTAGAGTTAATGCAAAACCATCTTCTTGATCGTCTTCTTCATAAATGTCACCGAGACCAAGACCACCTTCTCCTTCACCTGCATCAGCCTGATTCTGGTGTATTTCCGCCATAAACGCATCTCTCATAGCCGTAGATGATACCGAAGGCCGGTCCTTGAGGAGCGTGAGTTTTGCATCGTTTTCACGGATCTGTTTCTGTTCTGTTTCGCGTTGTAGCTGTCTGTACTCCTCTTTCGTCATCTTTGCCAGCAATGTGCGGACACCGCGTACACCACCACGACTGGGCGTGGTCATCTCAGCCATTCTCGGTGTTGTAACCAGAACGTGGTTTCCAGCGCGTGGCGTTCGTGGCGTAGAGACCATCATTGCCGCCGCATTTTCCGCATTACTTGCTCTAGGTAGACCCCCTCTGGTACTAGAGCCGCTGTTTCTTCTAGAACCTCGTGGTGATCTGAAAATGTCCAACTGCGCAATCGTGTTGGTAGACATGCCGCTGTGGCGTGGCGAACGGGGCTTAGAGGTAGTAGACATACCGCTATGTCTTGGAGACCGTGGGGGCTTCGCTGTGCCTATTGCAGCATGATCATTCTCATTGGGGTCTTCATCCGACGCATCAGCATCTTCAACCTGACGGGGGCCACCCTTCTTTTCTCCTGTATCTCCTTGCTCTATTTTCGCCTGCTCTTGTTCTCTTTCCGAAAGCATGTCCTGTTTCATCTTTTGTCGTTGTTCTTCCTGCTTCTCCCGCTGCCGTACTAACATACGGCCCATAGGGGTTTGCAAGTACACTGCGCGACCTGCTTCGGAACCATGATGCCTGTAGAAGAGATACGTGGGAACCGGATGTCTTCCCGACTCTAAAAGCTCTTCCTGGGTTCGCTGGTGATGGTCTTCTCCATTCGATGTTGATGTCGTAGTATTCTTACTAGTAGATGAGGAAGAGGACGATGTTGTAGTTGTACCTCCTACAGCTACAGCTTGTTGTTGATGTTGGCCATAAACAAAAGCTTGAGCATTTTTAGTTTCCTCTTGCACTGGTCCTTCTGATGTGTCGACATGATCCACCTCTTCCTCTTCTTCATTGACAGTAGGAAGCGAATGCTGTAACATAGCTGGTGAATAAGCTGCAGCATCGACTGGAGTTGCTGTTGGTGCTATTTGTATTTTTAACGGTTCCCTTTTACACCGAATCTCCACTGCGCGACTCGCCAACAAAGCAGTCCCCCACTGATCGTCTTGTTCCACTGGAAAAACAACTGGTTCACCGGTTAAAGTGTCTACAGTACTAGTGACATCGACGAGGGAAGCGTCAGTGCCACAGAGTATGGCGAAGGGAGGACTGAAACTGAACGGAGCACTAGTAGTCGGATTTTCATCTTCTATGGCAGAAGAAGAGACAGCACCAACTTTTCCGAAGTTGTAACCGCGACCTCCGCGTTTTTGTGCCTTGTCTGGTCGACTACAGAAGGAGTTGTCTAGGACTAGATAATTCATCTTCAGGTTGATATTGTCTTCACCGTCTATCTCGTGTCCCGATCGCGCACATCTAAAGTAGGCCACCAGCGTCGCAAATTTCGCTTCGGTTGAAGACGAAGCATCACTGGAAGATGTAGACACTTTCTCTTCCTCATCTTCTAGTTGCTGTATTTTTGCTTCTGAAGAGGTTGTTGTATTTTTGCTTGTCTTGTTGTTTTTCATGATGTTGTCTTTGACATATTCCAAAATGCGTCGGTCTCGGTCCTCCGCAGTGCCATCGTCCCATAAACTCTGTAGTGTGCCTATTCTTCTAGCTGCAGGCTGCATATTTTGTGTTCCTGCTGTTAACGCAGTACTACTCATATTGCCCGCGCCAGTTTGCCCTGCAGCGGCCGTTTTTGGGCTCGTGCTAGTCTTTGACTCCTGTGCGACTACGAAGTCCTTAGACATCCTGCCTTGTTGCTGTCCTTCTTTACCTTGCTTTTCATCCCCACCGAAGCCAGCAACTCCACTGCACATCTGCGTAACAAAGGCAGGAACACTCTCACGACTTCTGAGAAAGATCGCCCTTGTCGCTGCTCGATCCAGAGACCCCGTGTCAAACAGTAGTTGAAGCAACAAAATCTCCTGCTCCTTGGCTTGCACAGCCGCACAAGGACAAGCGTCGACTGACTGTGTACTACTAGTGGAAGTAGGTTTTATTCGTGGTTTGGAGTTTGATCGACTGCGATTAATACTGTTCGATGACGCGGCTGATGTTGACGCAACACCAGTAGACTTCAACTCTTTCTCTGCAGGAGCAACCCCTACTCCAACTGCAGTGGTCGTAAGAACCCCGTTGTACAGGATCATCCAAAAACGCAAATTTTCTACTGCCGCACAGCGAACTACCTCAAAATCACAACAGTCCCTGAACGAGTGTGCTAATGCTGGAGCGAGGGCTTCTGATGCGTTCAGACGTAAAGCGACAGCTTCTACGAATTTGTCGATGCGGAAAGGCTGTGCTGACGCGCCTAGACCACGTGCGGTCTTATCATTCACTTCGAGAAGAGTGCGTGCAAAGTGTTCGCAAAATGAGCTGATTGGTGAAGCGCGCTTCTGATTCTGAGGATCGTTTTGTTGCTTGTTCCGGGTAGGAGAAGTTGAAGTCTTTGTCTTGCTACCTCTGTTTTTGGCTTTTGTAGCGGTAGGCTTTGCTGTAGGTGCTGTGTTCGTTGCAGAAGTTGAAGCTGAAGTCGTACTATCAAGCCCTACACCGCTGAAACCAAACATAGCTGCAGTTGTCGACAGAAACTCAGCTATTCTGCGAAGAAGAACTCCTGATCTTGGATCCTCGTCACTCAGCTTCATCGCAGTGTCTGAAAAACCTTTATTGGTGGTCTTCAAAATCACCTCTCTATTCACTGCTAGAGCGATGCCTGCTAGGATCACGGTGCGGGCAAGAAATTTCGAAATCAGTCGTCCTAATTCGATGACTGCAGATGCGTCACTTTCCAGCAGTATGGTAGTGTCGACGATGCTTTTGAGTAGCTCGTGACAGGCATGTGGGTCTCTCTCAGAGGCGGGGAACTGGAAAGCCACTTGCTCGTAATGAGCTTGCTTACGGCGATTGTTGACTACTATACCCAAAGCACGCATTAAACGATCTGCTAAAACACGCTGTTGCCCAGAAAGCATAGAATCGTAGAACTGCGCAATCTTTTCTGTAGAGATAGAGGTTGGCAGATCTCGCGATGCGAGCAGCGGTGGTTTCAAAGACATCAATAAAGCGGAACCAATCTTGCTTCTGCTTGTTGACGTTGTGGACAGAAGTTGTACTGTTCTCTCGACAACTACCGTGTGTTGCTGCCTAGCGACGAAGCTTGTGGGCAGGCAAGCGAGAGAGGCGAAGATTCCGTGAATATTTCTGTTCTTGGACGCATCTGCTTCGCCATTGACACTTGCAATCAGCAAAGGCCCAACGTCTGTAGAGACTCTAAGATCCTTGTTCGGCACAACTGCAGCCTCCACTGTTCTTCTTGTTTCTTTAGTACTTGGCGCTGCTTCTGGCAGAAGTATTCCAGCCACGTTTTCACAGCGTATTTCATGTGGTGTTGACCAAAAGAGATAGAGTTCCCTAGTTGTTCTTGTAGCTGTAGTATTTATTGTTGAAACATTTTCATCTTCACCTTCAAGGTGACCCACCTCCTTCGTGTCTGTGTCTGTGTTCTGTTGAAACCACATCAACGACAAACATCGTGGCCAACAATCAATGGTGTGCACCAGCGCACAACTACAAGATCGCCATTCCTCGACGAAGGGATTCACCACTGCTTCCACTCGGAGGATAAAAATTCTTTGCAAGGTAGGTAAAGCCAGAAAGTTGTTGCGAGTGTCTTTCTTCACACCTGTAGAAGACATCGCCAGTGGCCAAATAGTGGAGCACCACCGAGGTGCTGCCACAAGCGAAAATCGTTCTTGCGAAGATGCTCCTTGCTGATGCTGCGAAGTAGATGGTGCTAAGCACCACACAACTCCAGTTGCAGTTCTAGTATCGGCAAGATTCGAGTTGATACTGCCACTACCGCTTCCACTGAACAGGGGTAGTGGCGAAGGACCGCCTCCAGCGAATATCTGAGCGTCCTGCTCCTCCTTTTGCATCCTACTAGAATTATAGGTAGAAGGGAGTTTCCTTGGTCGTGTTAGGTGTTTAGTAGTAGTACCCCCTTAGAAGTTATGCCTTTCTCCCTTTTTAAGGACGGCAAAGAAAACTAACGGGAGCAGAAATTACATCCAAAACCGAACCTTAATAGACGAACCACCTCCACTGCCAAGAGGTGCTCCTGCACTCAGACCCATGATCAGGTTTCGTGACGCGACTAATTGTTGTGTTCTCACCAACCAGTACAAGACGCCCGTGCTACATAGAAACGGCGTGGCGATCAACTGCACAGGTAACTCCGCAGAGCAACGCTGTTCCTCGGACGGGAAGACACTGCTGAGCTGGGCTACCTCAACATTCGCAGTATTCATCGTAGAAGTACTAGGAGATCTATTTCCGCCCATTGCTGTTGCTGTAGAAGCAGAACTGATCTTCGGGTTTCTTGCTGCAGCCGCGTACAACGCTTCTAATGTTTTTACCCGCGCGGAACTACGTAAGGTTTCGAAGTCGACTGGTCTTGGTGGTACTGGTACTAGTGCTGGTCCTCCAGTACGATGATCTAACAACATCGTTTCCTTACTGCTTCCTCCAGTCTCTTGTTCTGGATAGAACATATTAGGGTGTCCACCAGA